CGCATCTGTAGCACCAGAAAACTAGAGAAGACTTATTTACACACTATCCCCCTTGGCATAACAACAAGCTTCACTCCACACTCCCATTTGTATGAACCTGAGTGTAGGTGGAGGAACATTGATCTGTTTTTTCAATTACTTCACTTCAAGCAATGCCAATAATTCTGTACTAATGCACTGACTTCTGCGAAGTTATTTTGTTTTGGGAAACTAATAAAAGAAGGAAAAGTAATCCAAGAAAACCTTTTCTCATAATTCATCATCTCTTGAATCCAGTTAATCTTGAATCTTGAGCATTCTTGAAGAGACTACAGATGCAATGTATGCATCTGAGTTTTTTAGCTCTAAATTTCATACTCAGAGGTGGAATGTACCTTGTGACTCCATTGTCAAGCCCAGTTTATGTAATCTCATGTTTAGTACTGTACATCTCTCTATGTAGCATTTCATGTAGTCTTTCCTCAGAAAATATAAAAAATAGTCAAGAAAAACCCTCCACACACTTCTTGGGTCCTGATTCTACTGTCTTGCTTTCTTTAAATGTGTACTCTGTCCCCATCATCATGCATATAATCAATGGATCATTAAAATTGCATTCTTGGTACTTAAATGAGCAGATATTATTGCACTATAAAAAGATGGACCTTGGACTCCAACCTGTAGATTAATCATCTGCAATTATGACAATTAAGATTTGACATTTGCAAAGGTCCTAGCATAGGTTACTGCTATTCAAGTATGAGATTGTTGACCTGATCAAATAAGATATATGAACTATTTCTGTCTGCATTTAGACTGATGAATGGTGTGGCAGTGGTTCATGTTAGGGTTACAGATGATTTACCGTTGTCTGCTGACTCAGTGTTATTATCCACCTTTATCTTGCTGGACCTCAGTGCTGACTTTGGTAGAGTTGATCATATCCTCTAACACAGCTGATTGGAAAGAGCTGTTGGTATTGCCCGATCTGATCTTGTTTTGTGGTTTAGATCTCATCTGTTTGAAAACATTTTTTTCCAATTGGATATTGTTCCTCCTTGAGGTTCTGTTCTTGATAATAATGATTCTATTGTCATTATTATTATGCTAAAAAATCATTACCTTTTCAATTCTGGACTCTGATAAAAACACATTTTTATCCCTTCAAGTTTTCTGGTCAGGAATCTTGGTGTTATCATTGATCCATGTCTTGTATTTGACAGCAGTGTTATGAAGGACTTTTTTACCTTTGTAGCATGGCTCATATCTGTCCGAGCTTTTCCACTCTGCTAAAATAAAGCTAATGTATACTTCTGTCTTTTCCAGGCTTCATTAATACAGTCCTTTTTGGTGTATCCAAACAAGTTCTTAACAAGTTGCGATATGTTCAAAACCCAGCTGCTTGGATCTTAATGAATACCAAAATGTATTAGCATATTTCTTGTTTTAGCATCCTTGAACTCAATCCCTGTGGATTTCAGAATAAAAAGTGAATGCAGTGTTGCTCGCTTTTAAGGGCTTGAATGGTTTGGCTCCTTAATGCATTAATGAACTATCCCAGTACACTTTTGTTATGGACACTTTTTGGCTATTTAGTTTAGTTTCCAAAACTAAGCTTTGAACTGTGGGAGTTGTTCTTTCTGTTTGGCTTTTTCTAGGCTGTGGAATGACCTCCCATTCCATATTAAATCTTAATGAGTCTGTTAACACTTTAAAATCCTACCTTAGAACTTACATGTATTTACTTTTAATTAGGATTAATTTAATGTATTAAATTTTGTATTACTGTTTCTAGCATTTTTGCTTTTGCATTTTTTTTCATTTTTAAAATGTGGTGAGATCCCGTGTCATGTAGAATAAAGTTTATTATTAGTACAATAATGTGGACTATGTTTCGTAAATTACAGAAACACAAAGAAAATAAATTAAAGTTAATATTAATGCTTTCTAGTACTTTTACAGCCAAGCAGTGCCGTGCAAAATAGACTGTTTGGACCCTCTAGCTTTGAACAATAATAAACAGTAGATTTGATAAATATACTGGGCAGGATGGTCTGGTGGTTAGCACTGCTCTCTCACATCACAGTGCTGGGGACATGGGTTCAATTCTGGACCTGTGGTGCTATCTGTATGTCTTCCCTGTGTTCGCATGGGTTTCCTCCAGGTGCACTGGCTTCTTCCCACAGTTCCAGGACATAATAATAATAATAATAATTATTGCTTACACTTATATAGCGCTCTTCTGGACACTCCACTCAAAGCGCATTACAGGTAATGGGGACTCCCCTCAACCACCACCAGTGTGCAGCATCCACCTGGATGATGCGACGGCAGCCATAGTGCGCCAGAACGCTCACCACACACCAGCTATCAGTGGGGAGGAGAGCAGAGTAATGAAGCCAATTCAAAGAGGGGGATTATTAGGAGGCCATGATTGGTAAGGGCCAATGGGGAAATTTGGCCATGACGCCGGGGTTACACCCCTACTCTTTTCGAGAAACGCCCTGGGATTTTTAATGACCACAGAGAGTCAGGACCTCGGTTTTACGTCTCATCCAAAGGACGGCGCCTGTTTACAGTATAGTGTCCCCATCACTATACTGGGGCATTAGGACTCACATGGACCGCAGGGTGAGCACCCTGTTTTTCCCAGGAGGTCTCCAATCCAGGTACTGACCAGGCTCACACCTGCTTAGCTTCAGTGGGTTGCCATTTGTGAGTTGCAGGGTGATATGGCTATCCTAGAAAACTGGACAAGGTTGAGTGTTAAAATGTGTAAAAATGTGTTAAAATGTGTAAATAACTTCTAATTTAGTGTTTCTTGATTTCAGGCTGTTAGGTCACAAAATGTGTTACATTGGAAGGGCAATGTATAAAGTATATACAGTATATACATATTTTCTAATACATACTGAGGCTTCATTTATGATTTAATGGACATTGCCCATTACATCCTTTCCTCCTGTCAGTCTGTTAAAACGAGGGGTTTTCCCTATCATGAATTAATATGGTCTGTTTGCCTAAAATTTAAAAACAAATCGCAGTGCAACTCTGACTCAAGCATCCCAAAATCACTAAACAATGAGACAAGAGTTTCAAGTATTGTATACAGTATATTGTATTTGCTTCAAGTGCAAATGCATTGGTCACACTGAATGTTGAATACAAATGTGTGCTGCAATCTGATGAAATATTACAAATCTATTCCTTTGTGAAATTATCTGACTGGAAAAATATTGCAGCATGTTATTTAGCTTGTTTAAAAGTCACACTTACCCAGGAGAAATTTTGTGCTAAAATGAGGATAACTGCAAACGTGGTTGAAGTGCAACTCTTTGGTGCCACAATACGCAGTACTGCTTTAAAAGCACAAATGTTCATTAAATTGTTGCTTTATTGGATTTGTGTCAACTAGGATTTGTGTCAGTGCTAGGAGGAAAAAGGCAATCCAGCCAATAAGTCATCCCTTGTTATGAATGACCTTTTTAAATTAATTTGTGCATACATAAGGGAAAGCAAAAATAATTATTTTTTTGAGCCAAACTCCCCTTGGCTTGGAAACAAGTTTGAAACTGAAAATATTGATAAATACTATGTCATATGTACTGTATATTGTGTCTGAGTTTTAAAGGCACTTGTTTTGAGTTGCATATACAGTAAATGAATGTTTATGTAAGAACGTAAAAATTATGTTGTTTAGTGTAGTTTCGTACTAATTTTTGTTATTTTGTTAATTAGTTTTACAGTCATTTATGCCGCAGACAGTCAGAAGTAGCTGCTGCTATTGAACTGTATGATGCCCATTTTAATTGAATTGCAGGGAACAACAGGGAATTTATTTTAAACACATTAGTTCTCTGACTACATGCGTCATGGTTGCACTCGGTGTCATGTTTCCAAGATGCAAGATATTGATGCCTCAGTATTTAGTAAGACTAATTGCCTTTGTTATATTTCAAATAATGTGTTTAAATGTATCACAATATATTTTATGTTAACTTTTAAAGTGTAGTATTTTGAAATAAATTCATAAAGGTGTTTTATAGTGCTTTCTGTTTAAATAAAATGGGACATCCTGATCACATCTGTTAGACAGTGGATAGGATATGGTTTTCTCATTTCTTCTTCATGTGATTTGTTTGTTTTTTTTGTGGAATATTTTACACCAAGTTAGAGGTCTCTGCTTGACATTATAGGATAGACTGACAAGGGGTGTTCATTTTTCAATCTCATCTTTCAATACAAATATTTCCCTACCGTACAGTACATCTTTTCTTTCTTGTCTGGTCAAGAAAGCCATGAAATATAAAAAGTGGAGCAAAATGCTCAGCACAAAACTAATTTATTGGTCTTAAATATTGTAAGTTCGATGTAAAGTAACATTACAAAAGACTGAAAATAAGAATACACTAAGATAAGTATTATTCTATTTATTCTCAAACTACCTCACCATTCCTGCTTTTACTATGGAATACAGAGTTCAGATGAATTTCTAAAATGGTGGATTTACTTTGATTAAATCATTTGCTACTTATTTTCATGTCAATAATTGTTTCCTTTTATTCTGAGTCAAAACACTTGTCAGTTTTGTGCAGGTAATCTCTGATACCACAAAGTGTTTATCTTGACAGGCTTAATTTTCATTCATAGCTCCTACAGATTTATTATGAGAGCCACTTCTGAAACATTTTGTACTTTATATTTCTCAATGGGTGACACTAATTTCTGACATTCAGCTTCAGCACTCTGACTTAGATGAAATTGCTGTGATTTATTAGGCCTCCTCTCTTAAGCTTGGGATTTTAAACCCCTTTAATAATTCAATTAAATATATATTTTGTTTTCCAGCTTCAGTGTAAACTTAATTGTTGTTCCCTCTGTGTGTAGTATTTTATGTTAATTTGCAGTCTATATTTCTTCGAATATATCCTTCAGGGTAAATAAATGCCAGTGAGAAGACGGATCTGAAAGACAGCATTTTAATAATAAATCAGTATCAAGGCCTTTGGAAGAAATACTATTGTCTTCTTTTTCATATAACAAGTCAGGACAGGCTGTAAATTTCTGGTACATTCATTACAGTGTAGCTAATGCACACAGGACACTGTAAAACTCCCTGCAGCCAAAACTGAACCATGAAGAAAACAAAAATCTATAACTCCCTTAATTTTGCTCTTAGCAGAGCACATTTCCTGCTACTGGATCCAAGATGAAATATCCTAAAGGCAACAATAAAGTATGATTTTTTTTTCATGTCCTTTTTGTTTTGCATTTTCATAAAACTCTTCACAGCTTGTTCAACTATATTTCTAAAACAATAAAATTCATGCTCAAGAGTCTAATCATTTATTTAAAGTAATAGCATCAGTTTGATTTCATGTTTATTGTCCAATGCATTTACTTTGAATATATGATGTTTATAAATTAAATTTACTTCATTTTAACTTCTAAGAAGTGAAATAATTGGTTTTCCAAATTGTTTTCACCTGTATAAAGAAATGTGTGACTACTGCTCGTCACATGAGTTGTGATCTGGAGATTCCTAACTGCTGATGACAAATGTTGGCAGATTTATTGTAAATTATTAGCTGTATCATCTTGATACTTTGTCTTTTCTAAAGCCTCTAAAGTATTGGTCTCCCAGGAAAAAGAATTACATCACACCATCTTCAATTGTACTATGATGTGTCTGCATATTCTCTGCCAATAAAATGCCAAAGGATACTAATTCTTTTCTGTTTTGCTAATCAAAAGAAGTTGTTTCTGGCCAAGTACTCCATTAAGAAATTACGAGTCATCCACTTTGGTACACTGTAACCTTGTAAAACGCATGACTCAGCAAAACAAGCTTAAGCAACACACGATTTTCCCTATATATTTACCTAATTATATTCATTTTCAATTGAATTATCAAAAAACATCAAAAACAGGCATTTTTTAGGTGTCGGGTTTCAAGAGCATTTGGAAGGTGAAATGTTATTTGCTTCAGCCCTTTTTTATTTGAAATGCTGTTATGTTTTTTAAACATGCAGTATCAAGTAAGAATTAAAGAATTGAGTGCCTTTGTGTATGAATAATCTAGATATTCTGCATGCTCTTGTTGTTCTGAGCAGTTTAAAGGATGACAAACTGTCTTGATGCTAAACTAACTAAGCTTCTGTCATCATCCAGTCTGTCATGAAGCCTACAGGCCACTGCCTCCTGTTCTGTGATTGTGTGTCTCTCAGGTCTCCTTCCATTAGTCTTTCCTCTCTGGCTGACTCACCACCTCCAGACATGTCACCAAGAGCTACAGCCTGCTCTATCTGCATTACCACCTGAGCATCTCAGCTTAAAACCAGGCTTCATGAGAGACATATTTGATTTCTAAGTAACAATAATGATAACTGAAATATAGCTTGTTTGTAGGTACAAATATCTAGGCATTTGTCTAAATATATATGTCAATTTTTAATTTTATACTTCTCTTTTTTTTCAGCATGGAATAAACCTATTACTTGTTCCTAAGATGTATTATGAATTCTAAAAGCAAAACTAATCACAGTTAAGAAACCAAGGCTGGTGCAGATTTTTTGCAATACATGTTATTTCATACAATCAATTCCATGTCGCTAGACATTAGTTTCTATTGGCCATTAGAGGTGTGAAAACACACCTCTCTGGCCTCCTAGATCCTTCAACATTTACATTCACTATATTACATTTTCTCACCATGTTGACTAAGGGACCTGTTTACCCCTGTTATGTCCATTTGCTTCCTCCCTGGCTCTTAAAATGTACAGTAACTGAATATTCTCAGGAGGTGCTTCAGCAGGATGGTTTGTTTATGAAAATTGTTAGTCTTTGTGGAAGGCTCACAACCGCTCTTTCCTTGACAACCGAGAGTCCACCCCCCACTCTCTCAAGTCTGCAAGGATGTGCCCCACCAATTCCCTGACTCCCCACTCCTTGTTGTGCAGGATAAAGGAATTCCTTGCCAAAGTCTCTTCTTCGTAATGGACACCAGCAGTACTTGGATGGGAGACCTCCTGGCAAAGCTAAGGCTGCTGCTGTAAGAAGTGTTGTAAGTGAGACCAGTAGGGGGAGCTCGCTTTGCAGTCTCTGTGGGTCCTAATGCCCCAGTATATGTCGTTCCTCTGCCTTTATTCTAGTGTTTGACCACTGGATCAGACGCCTCATAGTATTGGGAACCAGTGCCTGACACATCCAATACCTGGTGACATATTCGTACCTTACCCACCATATGGAGTTGAATACCACTTCCTGCAGTGCTCAGCTGAATGTGGCCGATAGCATTTACACCATCACAAGGCACACCAAAGCTGTTTTCAGTATCTTTTTTCTAGCAAAAATAAATGTTATTTCAGCTCTATATAGACATTTACATTGTTAAATTCAAAACATATTGCATACACTCAAGGTACTTCCCAAACCCAAAGCCCAAAGACGTCCATCCATCCACCCCTCCATTCTCTAACCTCTTCTTCCAGTTCAGGTCACTGGGGAGCAGGAGCCTAACCCAGCAAGCAATGGGGTGCAAGGCAGCGTTCAGCCATCGCAGAGTGCAAAGCCAATTTGGTTTCTTGTCCTTCCAAATGCCCTGTGTCTCGTTGTGGTTGTATCAATGTTTTCTGACCATACAGTAGCCTTCAGGATTAGGTGCAGCTTCACACAACCCTCCAAATATAAAGATCATACTGAAAATGGATGGATGATTTGTATTTCTTCAGGCAATTCTATTTTATGGTGTTATAATGTATAAGTGCCTCATTTGCAAAGTATTAACGTGCTTAAATATAGGTTTAAGGCATGTGCAAAATATATGATCATACAATTTCAAACCATTTTAATTTGAAACCATTACTGTACATTTAATTTTTGAATGCTTATAAATCTCCAGCCCCCTATATTCCCAATAATGAGTAACTGAACTCTTTACCAGACAGTGATCGTGACGTAAAAACTTAAGATAGCCGAGCTCCCAACGCTATCAGGAAAGAATTGACCGCAGCCGCGCGTCCTTTGACCGTCTGCCAAAGCGCGTGTCGTCATCAACCTGGAGCGCGCGCCGCCGAACTGAGCGGGTCTCGGCGCCGCGCATTCCCAGAGACTGATGGGGGCGCGCATGCTTGCGCCGCTGCAGAGCTGAGTCCGTGCAGTTGAAGAGAGTAATCCGGGCATTTACGTTTGATATCGAACCAAGACTAGAAATTAAAAACAGGTATCGAGGAAACCGGACGGCGAGAAAGGAAGCATTTCGGCGTTTCACACAGGGCGTTGAGAAAATATCAAATAAACACGGGTGTTTGTTATAATTGCGCAAGGCAGGCCGAAAACTGACGGATGAGGTTCCTTTTCCATTCCAGCGTCCATGGAGAAACCGAGAGGCAGGAAGAGTGCCGGTGTGTTGTAAATAATTGAAGATCCACCCGGTGTCCGTAAAAGAGCGAAAAATGCATTTACACCAGGTGCTTACGGGTGCTGTCAATCCAGGCGATAATTGTTACTCGGTCGGAAGCGTCAATGACATCCCCTTCACGGTAAGAATGTAAATATTGTGGCAAAAAATCAGAGTGTTACAGCGTGTAATAATATTTAGCGACCCGCAAGTCAGATCTGCCAGGGAAGCCTGCCGGCATCTTTATCCGAAACATCATTAATTTTTCATGACAGCTGGGCTTTCTGTGTGTGTCTGAAGGTTATCTTTGGCGCTGTCCCTTGGACTCCTGCCGACGTAGGTTTGTTTAGAAATACGCAAGTTTCGGCAAATGACCTTTAAGGAATTTCTGCGGTTTTCGCAAAATATAGAAAGTACTGTCCGTGACGTGTCGTACTTAAGCTGTTTCGTGTTGTTGTTTTACCGAAGGCGAGTTTTTAGCGCAGTCAGTTGTTAACAATGTTGCTCCCGATTCCTCAAGGCTCGAGTTCACAGCTGGCACGATGACGAGGAGCATCGCACGAGAGATGCTGTAATTAGAATGGCTGGGTAGTAAAGTCATCATATCAGCTGCCCGCACCACGCATTTGTCGAAGCTGTGCTTGAGTTACCAGATTACCAGGTACCTAGCTGTTGTGAGCACAGCCGTTATAGGAAACAACTCGAGTCTGTTCAGATGAAGCACTGACCAGGATAAATGCACTACAAGACATTAAGGACGCAATCAATGAGTACTGGACCAAATAGCATCTGTTGTGTTTTTAGTGTCTTGTAAATACGACTAAATTAAAAATGTAAAGAGGCCTCACTTACACATCTGTTATAGTATGTGTATGCATTATTTAGGGCAGTCTTTTTGCCTTTCTGTATATTTACAACGTGCAATAACTTAAGCCTGTCGGGAGGTAATATATCTTCCAAAATAGCAAGTATTTGCTATTTTGTAAAAGCAACGAGAGAAGTTTGTATAGCTCAGTGATTTTTTAAATAGACTCCACTGCTGGTGCTGCTGTGAGATTTTTTTTGTTTGGCTGTTGTTTTCACGCGTGCTCTTCACACATTTTTGAATTGCACGCAGGCAAAACGCAGACTAGTTAGTATGAGGGAGGGTTGATAAGCCGTTTACATGTGACACAGGACTGTCATACCTATTAACGTTTTAAGATTATTCCGTTATGTTTTGTAAGTGTAAAAGCAGACAAAGAATTAGTATGTCTTGTTAATTTGAAGATTTTTTTGTACTGGTTTATAGTGAATCGATTCATTTCTGACAATGGAACCTTATAAATCCTTGCCTCTTTTTTAGGTTTTCCTTCCTGTATTTGGTAGAATTACTCAACGATACTACAACTGACAGTGTTTTCTGTGTAAAATGGAGAACTTAAAACTTGAAGCGAGCAGTTCTTTTGTTCTTTCACAGCTTGTCTTGAAACATTTTTGCATTCATTTAACCACTGTCAACCATGAAATGACCCTTTCAGAAATGGGATGTGACCAATCACAATTTTGTCTTCACAACAAGCATATACTGTAACTGTAAAGTATACTATATTTAGTATTGCTTTTGTGATTCTGTGGCATCCCTCATTGGATACTAATGAAAAGTTTTTTTTTTTAACTAAGTGCATTACCCATTTAGACTATGGCATTTGCAGAGGAGAGAAAAGATGTCTGATAATGATAATTGAAATTAATCATAATTACAGTCCAAACTTTTACACTGATTTTGCGTTGGTTGTGTCAGAGCAGTGCTAGGAAATATGCATCAAATTCAGAAACTGTTTAAGTGTTGTGCAACTGTCTAAGATGTTATGAGTCCTGGGTCTCATATTTGTAAAATACATTTTAGCTATGACTGAGTTTATGTGATAGTAGTGCAACACCATAATGTACTTCAGATGGAGAAGGACCTGCACAGACCAGTCGGATCCAGTTAAAATCTAATGTAGAGTTTCTCAGACCCTGGGATTAGATTTCAATGTAGCCTACAGATGTAGTATTGCATCATATCTTGATGCGTTTGAATTAACAAAAATGTGTATGAATCTTCATTGATGTTTTTTTTTAAATTTTAGACAGGTCTTTGGAGCTTGGCTTCAGTTTGTGTTTGTGTCATCTGAAATTTACAGTCCTTCTTTAGTTTTCATATTGTGCCAAAATACCCTTGTAAAGATGCACAGTTTCAGAGTTGTCTTATTCACTTAATCTCTTCAAACTTCATGTTGGCTTGTCCAAGGGTAGTTGCTCTCTGCCTAGAGGTTACCCAGAGTTAAAGCAACTTAGATGTGCAACAAACTACTGTAGTTGTGTGTCATACTGAGCAAGTTACTGAATCCCCTTGCGGTCAGACTGTCTTCAAATTGGGGTTCTTAGGGATTCCTAAACAGTAGGAGCTTAGTTAATGAGTTCTCTTCGTACTCTAAATCACTTAGCATAAATCCTCATCTTGCGATCACAGCAAGAAATGTCAGTATGAGGACAGTGTGAACAGTTCATTGTTCTGTGTCCTTACATTGGAGCAGAAAGTGACAAGATAAAAAAAGTTATTCTGTTGTTTTGGGTTTAAGGATTTTGAGACGTTAAACTAAGGTCCTGACTACATCCCACATACCATAGTCTGTAAATTAAGTGTTGAACAGCCTGGCCTCTCTAAATAGTCCCTGTTATTCAAAAGCAAAAAATAATTTCTCAATTCTCCACCTCACCCATCACCCAGGTGGTTGCTGCTTATCGGTGATGGATGAAGTTTGTCCCTTCCTGTACTGTATGTAGAAGTCTTTGAAGATTGAAAACACTATTATTCTGTTTATTTCATAGTTATATAATAGTAATATAAATTTGTTAAAAGTAGCAAGGTGAAGAAGATAATCCTAAATAAACACTTCAAAACATGCTGCTGAGGTTATTGCAAACTGAAGGTGGGGACCAGACAAGATTACACCAGGTCTGTGTTACTGCAGGCTGAAGCACACAGATTCAGCAGGACCTGCAGGAACACGACTACTGAAAGGGTTCCCCAAGCACCATAAACAACAGCAAGAGACATGTGGGCACTCAGTTCTCATATAGCACATAGCAACTCTATATTTAAAAGTTCAATATTTCATGTTTTGCTTAAAATGGCAAAAGGGGCTTGTGTGTGTCTGGTGTACTGAATACATTAAAATGTAGTTCTTGAGAAAGCAGTGGAGAACAATTTCCAACGCAGGATGACAAGGCTCCACTGTGTGGAAAAAGTCCAAACTTGCAGAAATGTGGAAAACGGGGGAAAAAAAAGAGGCCGTAGAGGGGTTTTTGTGCGAGGTTTTTTTGAAGCCAACGGTGATCTGTCCTTGATCTTCTTCCCCTGTTTTGTGTTTTTGATGGAGAGTTTTTATGATGCGGTTGCTCTGGGAATGGCTGGCCCAGCCGTGACGGTGACTGGCTTTAATTCTTCAGCTAATGTACAGTGCCTGTAAGCCTTGATGAGCTCTGCAGTGTCTCGCTCGGCTGTTTCGCAGTGCTGCTGCTATGCAGGTCTCATGTGAAACGCTAAGCCTCATTTGATGTGGAGGTAATTTCAACTCTCCTCCCCTCTTTCCCAATGCTGTAGATCACACTGAGTTACAGTATGTACCACAGGAGGCTGAGTGGTTTTTTTTGTGTGTTTGTGTATGCATTGAGGTTGAGCGCACGTGTGCCCACATTAACAATGCAAACATGGCAGACATTGTCTCCTTCTGATGTTCCCATTAATAAATCATGATGTCGACAAGAACACTCGTGATGTCCAGTGGGTAGGGTAACGACAGGTGCTGGCGAAACATTGGAGCTTTTTACCAGGGTAATATATTTGCTTGTTAGTCATCGGGTCTTTTGGCGATATCTGTGGAGAGTCACAGTGCAGTTGTTTCTTTTTTCATTATTTTTAAAAAAACTGCACTGAAGCTCTTCTTTGAGGTGTGATGCCTGAGCTGCAGAACTGCAGTTTTGCTGACACATGGTAACTGCCAAATTCCACACCAGAGGTGACTGCGGTCCATGGTATTGATCAGCGGTTTAGTTGGACACTAATTAAGGCCTGTGGTATCCTTGACTGTAGCTGGACACCACATCATTAAACAGCTCAGGATTAAAAAAGCACATTGTATGCAATCATTTTACCCCATGTAGTGTAAATACGATAACTTTGTTTATTTTAATGTGTACACCCTTGAGCCTATTGAATTAAGGCTTAAAACAAAATGCAAATTCACGGTGCAGGTATTATTGAGCAGGTAATTCATTCATTTTCCTTTTGTTGTTGCATTAATTGTAGGCTTACGGATCAGGATGCGACATTGTTGTTTTGGCGAGCGACTTTGAGTGTGTTCAGATCATACCAGGTGCTAATCATGGGAATATTCAAGTGGGCTGCGTGGAGTGCTCACCTCAGCTGGGGCGAGTAAGTGCTGATTACCTTTTCAGTGAAATCATGTACAGTAGAAACCCCTTGAGGGCATACAGGGTTGTGTAGCTGTTTGGGGTTTGTGTATTTAATGGTCATCATTTGCTGTGTCCTGACTAATATGTCCACTGCTTATTTGTTATTTTCATTGCATGTATTATTTTTAGATTGCAGCCTCTTATGGGAATACTGTGTGTATTTTTGAGCCAGTTTCTTCAAATCCACACAAAAGACATAAAGTAAGTAATCTTTTCCTAACCATCTGTATTACCACCCCCCAGAATGTGTTTCCTAATTGGAATATTTAATACTGTAAGTAAGTGTATTAGAAATAAATAGGATGTCTTTAAATAACACGTTTAGGCGCAGAAATGGTTGGTTTTCATGCATGAGAGCTGGCTTCTGATTATCTAACACTAAATGTCGTTATTTTGCAAATAATTTTTTTTAACACAGGAATGTTATTTTTCAGTTGTATTTGAATTGAAAAATGATTTAACTTGTGTGTCTCTAAAAGTGACTTTTTTAAAATAATGTCTGTGCTCAGTGAAACTACTGTTGTATTTTGATTTAAAAATACAGGAAAGAAAGTACTGTATTTACCTTTGCAATAAGACTTTTGTCAAAATATTTTGTAAGATGAAACTACAAAATATCAAATGTTCAATGATAGGTTGCAAATCAGTTATTAAATGCTATTTTGCATGCATTAATCTAAGAAATTAAAATTATTATTTGAATTCATAAGGAAAAATAATGCATTTGGGGTGTGGTGATGCATTGTATTTTTAGAAGCCCTGTGCTTTGTTCGCTGTCAGTTTTTACATGCCTAATAAATCAAATTGTACCTCCTTTTGTTTGAATCTAACTTTGTTTCTACTAACCTGTTTCCACTAACAGCACCTAAATTATCAATGGCAAAAGACAGGACAATTTTTCCTCAATTCCATTACCTGCAATTTGGCATGGGACCCACCAGGTAACTTAGACAATGTGTTTATCATCGCATTTCCAATTAACGTTGTTTTTCACCTTCATAGTTGTAGAAGCTTGAATGCGTGCACAGCATAGTGTAATGGATTTCCTTTACTGATCTGTTACTGAGAGCAGTATTATGTCTGAATTTTATCATTGAACTACAGGGAGAGGTCTACAGGTGATTAGAAAGGTATTTGCCTACTAGCTTTATAAATCTGGGTTGGTATCTAGCTTTTAGCTCACCAACATACTCACAATTAAATTGTAATTTATCTTTTGCAAAGAAAGTTTGTTGAGGCACAAAAATAAAGGATAGATATTTTTGTGTTGTACTGTTTGTTAATTGAAGATGTTTTCCCCAAAGGTGAGTGCAGATTGCTCCAAGCCAGTGCAGAGAGAAAAATATTAGTTGTTGATGTTTAGATGTTCATACAGACAAGAGTGTGAATGGGAGTTTTTGTAATCATTATCAGCTAAAACATTTGAATGAAAATGAACTAAGAAGCAAGCTTGTCAGGGAACTAGAATAACAAGTCCTTACTCTTGACTGTGATTCTTAAGCCATTTGAATTAAAATGTTTCTCATTAAAAATGTTGGAGCATAGCTTGTTTTGTAATATTATTAAATTGCATTTGTGTCATCAAGTGCTCATTGCAATATTGGTGTTGTCCATTTCAAATTCCGGTTCCTGTTTTCTTCTGTCAAGGCAATCGGATATTAACAGCAACAGAGCAATTGCAGCTCTGGGCCCCGCCTTCTAGTGATGTTCTAGTGGAGGAGGAAGACTGTCACGTTACAGATGACAAAATACTACCAGTCTTAAATGACTGGAAATGTGTCTGGCAGTGCAAGTAAGTATTGTTCATACTGTGCACTTCCTGCACCCACCCATTAAAGCAGAAACAGAAGTTGTAACTTCAGTTTTATAGCATTGGCTGAATGGTAAATCCGTTCAGTCTTCACTAAAATATACATTTTCTTTCATTTTTTTTCTTTTATGGCTGTGAAAGGTGAACTTTGAGACACAGAAGGGGGTTTAATGCATTACATTATTCATTTCATTAAGTATGTATGTATGCTGTACTTGTGTATATACTGCATTCAAATTTCATGCAATACAATACAGTGAAAATGTAAAGTAGACAAATATTTGCAGAACTGAACTCTGAGTTCAGAAAATTGATTCTGTTAACCTGTTCTTTGATGTTTTCTATTACCTAGAATCGCCAGCAAACTGTCCCGCATTTTATGATTTTTTTCTTGGGTTGTGCAAAAATATTTGGAAAGAGCTTGCAGGCTGCTTTTTTGCCAAAGCTTATCTTTTACCAACATGAGTACTCTACTGTAACTGTTAAGCAAAGAAATGCTTTCTCATTGTGGTGATAATGAGTAATGAGGAGTTTAGAAAAGGCAGGTTATAAACCACTGGGGAGAACTAACATAGCAATGAAGTTGTACAATAAAAAGCCACTAAATCCTAGCAGTTGAAGTAGTGAAATGTGTCAGTAAAATAGAAATGAAAGCAGTGAGCATGCTTATGATAACAGCAAATGAACAAAGCAGTCTTGTGGTATTAAAGATAAGTAAATGCCACACACGTACTTTAATGTGATATATTGTTGCTTGTCTCAGGGTGTGACTCTTTCACTGGTGAACATGATAAACTACTGCTGCTCTTCCGTTACTGCTGAATGTGTGTACAATATATATATACAACGCAATACAGGATAGAGAAATCTTCTATAGTTGTGTTCTCAAACCTTTTGTCCATTATTACAAAGTAAAATGCTGCATTGCTTTTTACACTAATGAAAATGATGAAGGGGGTTTTGGAAAACCAGTTTTCTCACAAATTATAGATCTTAAGGATTTCAGTGTTGCGATTTGTGAAGCATAATTGGTCAGACATTCAGTTTTGATGCCTTACCATATGCATTCCTTTGTTTCCTAAGGACTGCAGTGTCGGTCCACATTATGAAGTGGTCCCCTGATGGTGAATATTTTGCCACAGCGGGGAAGGTAAGGAGAAAATGAATTAAAACAATTACTAAAATGTAATCCAAAATGCTACGTCTCCCAAGGCGTTAATGTTTCACGTTGGGTTTTATAAAAAAGAAATGTGTTGGAAACAAGCTTACTGATAAGTTCCCTTTCTGTGGAAAGCAATGACTGTATTCACATTGTATGCTGAATTTCGTACTGCTAATTTAAAATGATAAAACCTTAAAATACTCAAAAGAATGCCAATTATTTATTTAATTGTGAAATAAAGTGATAAAGGAAATAAGTAAACATGGTGCATACCTGCTGCACAATATAACCTGACCTATCGGCAAAGTAGATTTTGGAGTTTCTGCCTCACTATAATGCATTGTTTAACACTGGATCATTTATTTTTTTGTTCTTTTTTTTTAACTTGAAGTTACAAATTGATTTCTGTTTTCATACTTCATCCAGTCTGGATTTAACTTTGCGCCACTATGGGGCAATCTGAGTTTTTTATGCTTGACTCTTCAAACTTTATTCTGAAACCCTCAGTCTTTTTCATACTGTTAGTCCTGCAATGTTCTTAGCATTGAATTTTAGCATGCAAACTTAGCATTGAATTTTAGAACTGATACTGCTTTCACTTACAATGCCCTGAGCTGACAGGCTGGTGCCACAGAAGTTGCTGCTGTACATCAAGCCGGGGTGTCCCTACCCCCAGCCCTGGTGAAGCTCTAGTCGGGTAGCCCAGGCTCAAGCCAACTAGCATGAAACATGTTCGTTTCTCCCTGGCTGGTCTGGAGGGGTTACACCTGTCTCTTGACGTATGGCATAAAACCCAGCATCTCTCGATGGAACATGCGTCTTTGCTGTAACTTGCGAGAACTCTTTGGAATGAAGGTGTTCAACATGTTGTCGCTGCAGATGTAACATGAGCTCTTTAAATGCATGTTTGTACAGGACGACTGTCTTTTGAAGGTGTGGTATCCCACCACAAGCTGGAAGTCTGCTGTTGTAATACCAGAGCTGCCTGACAAAAAGCCACCACCTGTCCATTTCTCCTTTGTCTACCTGGCACATCCTCGCACTGTCACAGGGTTTTCTTGGAGGAAGACAAGCAAATATATGCCTAAGTTAGTCATTTTTATGACAGCTATTTGATTTGTTGTTTAAAAAAGCAGATTGGACACAATCATGATATTACGTATTTGTGCACTGTAATGTTTTACAGCCCCACTGATTAATTATTTTGAATTTATGTCACCTTGGATAAGGCAGCAGCAAGTTAAATTATTGTTTTAAGTTTAATCCAATTACAATGTTTTGATTTTCACATTGAAAAACTGGAGAATTGTTTTATATCACTGTAACATAAGCATAGTGTTTCACTGCAACAATTTAACCTTTTTTCTGTACTGTACACAGGGGATCAGTGTGCAATGTACTTCTTACCTCATGTCAGGACGGCATTTGTAGACTCTGGTCTGAAACTCTGCTGCCAGAAGACAGTCTTCTGGGTGGACAGATCTCGGAGAGCAGCACCAGTTTCAGCAGCAGTCTTCCTCATCTCGGGAGTCAGAAAGATAAAATCCAACATGCACTGGAGGTGAATACACCCATGTTTGTGACATTCTGTAGGAACGTGATGGTAGATTTGAAGTTATAACAACATAGGCGTTTCTATCACAGCTCTGAGCATTTGTTATCAGAAAGGTACTTATTCCTGGAAAGGGCTGTAGCCACCTCCTAGTGCTTGTCCTGGAAGCTCAGGGCTGGAGGCAGGATTTCATCCTGCATGGGGCCATCGGAGAGATCACACACGGAATCCCACAGGGATAGTTTAGAGATGCCGATTGACCTATTTGGCATGCCTTTGGGAGGTGCTTGGAATCCAGATCACCTGGCAATAACCCTGGCCATAAGAGGAGAATATTACCGCTCTACACCAGCTCAGCATCAAACCCAGGGCTCACGTGCTGTTAGGCAGCAACACTTTCATGCCGTTGTGCCTCCTATGCTTACATACATTTGTTACAATTGCTTTTATTTTACAGTGTATCTTTGTGCCTTGCAGACGATTCATCATTTTAAACATCTCAGAAGAGGCCGAAGGAGGTCTTCAGCATTAGTGGCCCACACTGAGTTGTTACCAAGTCAGCTGGGTTCACATGAAGTCCACAGACACATTTCTCAACATGCTAACGCCCTTTGCCATTTTCACATTGCAGCAAGTATCAACCCTAACACAGGTACAGTGCAAAAACAGTTTTTTTTTGTATTAGAAGTAGTTATTTTAGAAATTCTAATGTGACAGTGTTTTCAAGAAGGTACAGAGATTCTAATGCTCGTTTTGTACTCATTGTTTTTGTATTCTTATGCCCTACGGTGCTGTGGACTGTGTCCTTCCCCTCTTTGTTGTAGAATCCCTTTCTTTTAATAGTAAATGACAGTGGTAAAGGGAAAATTAAATTATCTGAAATACTTTTTCTATGATTCCTACAGCAGGGTATTAGTTGAACCTTAATTAAATACAAAGTTCCTTAGCGGTTTATCATTACCAATTAAGTAAAATGCCTTAATTTCATCATTGTGTGTGACTGTTTATAATTTCAGTGCCAAACTTTAAAATGTATGTACATTATTATACAATACTGTGTTCCTTTTTCATTAGAAACAACACTTCATTTTGGGTTCATATCTGGAAATGAGAATACATTTTGTATTCTTTTCTCTGCAGACATTCCATCAGTATTGGCTGGTACAGCTTTCATATCAGATGAAGGAAACGGTGGCTTTGTTGTCCATTGGCTTAACAACAAAGATCTTAGCTTCACGTCTTCCATGGATCTGTTCATGCAGCAGCTGAGAAAGATCTCTGAGCAGCACCTAGACCCAACCACTGAGGAGTTTGACCAGGAAGGGTTACAGATGAAGTTTGACTTTGGTATGTGCTTTCAAAAAGCATTGCTCCATAAAACCTAATTGCAAGAAGTGCAATTTTTATGTTGTTGTTATAACATCGTTATCATAACGGTAATTATTGCTTTCATTAGATTCATTCCATCTTAATACGTATAATACAAAATATTATATAACATTGCTTACAAAGAGATGTATTTGTTAATCTCAAAGTATCAAACTTAAACTGCAAGTGATATATTCTTGAAATTAGTGCAACAGGATGCAATGGTGCTGAACATGTCACAGAAGTGACATCATCACTTTGGACCTAAGCAGTGCAGAATTCTTCTGCGGCAGAAGACCTGATGGTTTTGAATAGTGGAGTGCACTGTTAAGTAGGAAGTGGCATTGGGTGTGCTATGATCTAGCAAGTGACTGATTGAACCCTGGCAAGGGAAGAACAGAACTGCAGCTGTCACATTTGAAACCATAAAAACTGAAGGGCCAGATGGCTTCCTCTTGTTCATAACCATGTAGCCTATTTGATAGTTTACTAAACACCTTGTATATGTACAATAACTTCCTGTCTTTGGTAACCTTTCTTATGTTCTTATGTATACCTGGTGTGAAGACCCTGGTATTGTGTCAGTGCGTTCAGGAGTCAGTTCATGAACTACACTGAAACTCATTGGTACATTGTTAGCCCTTTTGGAATACATTTTAGATGTTGAAGTGCTTTTTTTATTGCCAATTGCTAGCTGATGTCCTGATTGCTCTTGGTCCATGTTAGATCTGGATGACATGTCTGACAAGGGCTCATCGGAGCATGAAGATGGGGAGCAGGAAGGGAGCACCAAAGCATCATCCCCCGGCTCCAGTAGCAGTGTTCCACTTCCCACAATGCTGCTGGACAGGAAGATGGAGGCCCTTGTTACAGAGTGGAACAAGAGCCCTGACATGCTTTTTACTATCCATCCAGTCGACGGCTCCTACTTAGTCTGGCATGTGAAGTATTTGGATGAATACACCCCTGGGATTTTCCGACAGGTCCAGGTATCACCTCTGTTTTTGCTGTGGTTTACTCTCTGCATCCTAGTAGGTTCCAGGAAGTGATAGTGATTTCAGATATCCATTATCTTTAAAATTTATGGACTAAGGTGATAAAATTAAATGTCACAATATTAACATTAATATTACCATATTACAATTTACCAATCCAACTATTGATGCCAGTTAAAGTTTAAAACTGCAGTTTTTCCATCTACAGTTATCTTCATTATTAACATTTTCTGTTTTCAGTGTATTATCACTTATGACACTTTCAACTGTTTTTTTTTTACTGATACATTACAGGTGATTTGTTTTTTGCTTTCAGGTCTCCTTTTCCTCTCGTATTCCTGTGGCTTTCCCCACTGGAGACGCGAATTCCCTTAGTAAAAACATCATGATGTATGCCTCTACCTTTGCCGAGAAGGATCCTGGTCATGCTGTGGAGCAGAAGACCCCAGTAAAGAGGATTCCTCAGAGTGCATCGGCTGCAGCTGGATTAGGCTCTGGGTTGGGCTACTCATTGGGAGCCATCGGGGGACCTGCAGTAATGATGGTATCAAAGCACATTGATGGCTCTCTGAACCAGTGGGCTGTGACGTTTGCAGAGAAGTCCGCTTTCTCGTCAGTGTTAACCGTCTCCCACAAATTCAGATACTGCGGGCATCGCTTCCACCTCAATGACCTGGCTTGTCACACGGTGCTTCCTTTGCTCCTGACATCCTCTCACCACAACGCTCTGTCCACGCCCCAGTGCGAGAATGAGTGGGACCTGGAGAAGGAGAAGCACATGCTGCAGACCGTCCGGCCCCTGAAAAGGTTCTCCAGGAAGCAGCTGAAAAACGCAGCCACTCGAACGTTCCACGACCCGAATGCCATCTACAGCGAGCTGATCCTGTGGCGCGTGGATCACATCGGGCCTCTGTCCTGCACGGGCGGCGTATCCGAGTTGGCTCGGATTAACTCTTTACATACCTCTGCCTTCTCTAATGTGGCCTGGCTTCCAACACTGGTGCCCAGCTCGGTGCTTGGTGAGTGAGGGTGTCTTTATAACACTGGAAAGCTGCTGCTCATTGTGCTAGAATGCTAATTTTTATATGCACTGTGTTCACATTTCTTTGAATTTTTATTTAAAAACAACTACTTACCTTTCTCTCAAAACACATGTTTCTTCACTATTTTCTCCTTATGTCAGGTACCTACTGCAATTCTGCAAGTGCTTGCTTTGTGGCTTCTGATGGCAAAAACCTTAGGCTCTACCAAGCCGTAGTGGATGCACGAAAACTTTTAGATGAGCTTTCAGATCCCGAGATATCTGTAAGTTGATGTACAGCACAGATAACTTGATTATTAAATTTCCATTGGTTTATGCATGATAATGAGTCTTGTTTGGAGGTTTGAAGAGAGAAACATGGGTGGGATGTCTTATATGCTCTGTTATTTAATTGCAGACTGATTAAAATGATTAATTCCCCGTCTTTTGTTATAGAAACTTGTTGGCGAAGTCTTTAATATTGTCAGCCAACAGTCCACGGCTCGGCCTGGTTGCATTATCGAACTTGATGTCATTACTAATCAGGTGAGCAAATGAAAACTTTTTTTTTATTTAAACAAGGTGGTATTTTGTCTAGTAAAAACTAATTTTGGAATATACGTATCTTACATGTTATGCTCATAAGTAAAGGTCATCTTTCCTAAAGTCATCTTCATTTTTCTTTAGTGTGGTTCAAATACACAGCTTCTTCATGTCTTTCAAGAGGACTTCATCTTGGGTTATAAACCACACAATGAAAATGATGAAATATTGGATCCATCGTGTTTTCCAGCAGCACCAGGTATTTTGCTGTCTTGATTGTTTTGTGATTAACTTTTCACGTTTTTACTGTGATTTACAGTCTACTGTAAATCACAAAAAGTAAATCACAAAATATCATGTGGCAGAGTTATTTTAATATGCTATATCTACTGAAAAAACAAATGCAGCAGAGCACAAAATAACCAGATCTCTGATTTTTAGTTTCATTGTTACCATGATCCTATTTTTTTATGTTTTAAACAGGATTCCATCCTCAACCTTTTTCAGAAAAGTTCTTTCTTGTGGTAATTGAGAAGGACAATAACAGAAATTCTGTTCTGCAGATGTGGCACCTTCATTTAAAATCTGTGCAAGCTTGTGTGGGCAAGTACCATGTTTCTTTTTTGTTTTTCTAATGTTCCAAGTTTGTAATAACTAATTATGTTCAATGTTTCTTCTTTGCCTTTGTCTTCTTTGTCATATTCTAATTGCTGTTGGCAAAGGTAAAAATGGTTCAATTATAATATTAAACAAATTAAATATTAAATAATGTGCGTTTTTTTTTGTTGCTGTGTAGGTAAAACGATACCAGAACAGCCTTTTGAAAACCAGTTAACAGTACCAGGTCAGAATGATGCAGAATCCTCACCAGATACCTCCCCAGGACAAAGCCCCCTTCCCCGCTCATCATCAACAGCAAACCTGCAGTCTGCGAGCAAGCTCATCCTCAGCTCCAAACTGGTGTACAGCCAGCCTCTAGAGCTGCCTAGGGGTGTTGAAGTTATCCGGGCCACACCCTCAGCAGGTAATGTTCTTTTTTTTAATGGTAATTTATCTCTATCCAGTATGTTTAATTTGAAGATTAGAGACAAGGAAATCTAAATTAATGATCAGTTGGAAAAGTTAATATAAAGGTTTGTGAGGTTGAGGGATACTGCTGTTACTTTTATGCTAAGAGTGTATAACCTTTAAAAAAAACTTGGAGTGACTTTTTCTTTCTTTTAATTTAAAGGGCACTTGAGTTCCTCTTCAATTTACCCCGTCTGCTTGGCACCTTACTTAATTGTGACAACGTGCTCTGACAGCAAAGTGAGGTTTTGGCGGTGCAATGTGGACACAGATTGTACCTCTGGGGATCCCGAGGAAGGCCGTGTGTATCGATGGGAGCCCTGGTCTCTGATGAATGAGGAGGAAGACAGCGACAGTGCAGTGTGTGTTCAAGGGAGGCCTGTTGCTGTCAGCTGTTCTTACACTGGGCGATTAGCAGTGTCCTATAAGCAAATGGAGCAGAACAATGGCTGTGTCTCTAAAGATTTCTCAATGCATGTGTCTATTTTTGAATGCGAGTCAACTGGAGGGTCTGAATGGGTGCTGGAACAGACTATTCATCTGGATGATTTTGCAAAGGTTGGAAATGTGCTAGACCCCAGAGTCAGTGTTGATAGTAACTTGTTTGTGTACAGCAAGTCAGATTTATACCTTAATAAAGAAATTTCCTTGAGCCCAAATATAAAACATTTTGTTCATCTTGACTGGCTGTCCAAAGAAGATGGTTCTCATATACTGACAGTAGGAGTGGGATCCAACATTTTAATGTATGGACGCATCTCTGGGATTGTAAATGAGCAAACCAGCAGTAAAGATGGTGTAGCTGTCATTACTCTGCCTCTAGGTGGAAGCATTAAGCAAGGAATAAAATCCCGATGGGTTCTTTTGAGATCAGTGGACCTAGTATCTTCAGTGGATGGTACTCCTTCCCTACCTGTATCCCTGTCATGGGTGAGAGATGGTATACTTGTTGTTGGAATGGACTGCGAAATGCATGTTTATGCTCAGTGGAAGCAAGGCAAGAAACCCACTGGTGAAGCAGAGAATGAGAGCGTGTCATCTTCTGAGAACATTGCAAGCCAGGCTACAGCTACAGAAAGTGACACCAAAGCCAAGGCAAAGAAGCACAGCGTGTTTGAAGGAACTATGTGCATGGAGGATGCTTTCAGAGCCCCTGCTGTCACTCAGGATGGGGGTCTTTTTGAGGCTGCACATTCCCTATCACCCACTCTGCCTCAGTATCACCCCACACAGCTCCTGGAGCTCATGGATTTAGGCAAAGTCCGTAGAGCCAAAGCAATACTTTCCCATTTGGTGAAATGCATTGCTGGGGAGGTGGCGGTAGTGAAAGATGTAGAAGCAGGAGAGGGAGGAGCAAGGCGTCACCTCTCCAGGACCATCAGCGTCAGCGGGAGTACGGCAAAGGACATCATCATAGCTGGGAAAGAAGGCGGACGGGATTACACAGAAATCGACTCAATTCCTCCATTGCCTTTGTACGCCTTGTTGGCTGCTGACTTGGACACCTCATACAAGGCTGTGGAGGAAATCGGGAAGGGGGTCAAGGGCTCAGAGGCGCAAACGCAGAAGTCGTCAGAAGACCAATATGCAGAACTGTTCCAGGTTCAGTCAGTTACGACTGATGATTTTGTCAGCTTTGCAACTGAAAAGAAGGAGAGTAAATCACGTGTTATTAATCTGTCACAGTACGGGCCTACTTACTTTGGTCCAGAACACGCCCAGGTGTTATCGAGTCACCTAATGCACTCCAGCTTACCTGGGCTTACTCGTCTTGAGCAGATGTTCCTAGTGGCACTAGCTGACACAGTGGCCACGACAAGCGCTGAAGTGAGTGGAGGAAGCACAGACAAACAATACACAGGCGAGTCAACAGTGTTTCAAACTTTATTTTATAAGGCGGGGACAAATGATGTCCTGATAACGGGGAAATTTGTTGCAAAATAAAAATCAAAGGCAATCCATGCCATGGCTGTAGTTTAGGATGCTAATGTGTGATTGCTCCAAAACATCCCAGTAATGCCCACACTGCTGCACTGAACCAGCTGCCTTTTGATATTGGAGACATGGTATTTCCAAGTTGATAATGTTCATGTGTGGTGAGGAGCACATGATTATAATCCAAAGACATAATTCATTCAGTTTTCCATTTTTATTTGGCACCAAATCAAATGGGAGTTGCAAATGTTTTAGAGTTTCCAATGAATGGACGGCCTTTCATTGTGTAGAATGCTTAGGCTATCCTGCTGGAGGAAATGTTGATTACTGTTCCTTAAGCAATGCAGTAACCTTCTGATGCATTTACTTAGGTGAATTGTTTTACTTTCTTGTCCCTTTTACAAAATGGCACCTTGGCTGTTTCCCTGTGACAGAAATTTACATAATAATTACTCAGTCTATTATTCCATACAGTATATACTAACTGTACTGTCAAAATGGAAGCATAAAGCTTCTTATCTGATGTCTCTTACCTTCAATTAAAAACATATTTAGTCTTTCCAGTATAATGTAGATCAGACCTTAACAGAGCGTTCCGGCACGTAAAGTAAGCATTACTGTGATCACAAAAGCAAGGTTCAAGGGTGCTTATTAAAATGGAACATGACTCTGATTGCTGGATGTAGTTGGTAATATTGCAGGTTTTTGTGGGTGTTACCGCAAATATTAACGTTTTACACAAACTACTTTGTGTGGGGTATTAATAAAGGTGGATCTTCCCTAGAGATTTAAATAGAACTCAGATCAGCTTCAGTAGAGCTTGTCAGCTAATATTACTTTGTTTTTTATTTGAAATTTCCATTAGATTTCCATCTAAGTTATTCATTTCTTTTTAGTAGAAAGGTTAACTATAATCTGCACTGCAAAAGACTTTTGCTTTGCTTCTGATATCTGGTTTGCTAATCAGATTGAAAGCTAGACAGGCCTAAAGGGAAAGCCTAGCTGGACAGGCTCTGTAAAGAAAGCAAGAGATGAAAAAATACAGAATGGGGATGTTTAGATAGCCAGAGGCATGTTGACATTTGCTAGTTCATCCATCCTGTCACTGCTTTTTCTGACCTGTTTTTCTGTTCATGCTTTGTCCAGGAGGCGAGACGCTAGATGAGTGTGGTTTGAGGTATTTGCTGGCTATGCGTTTGCACACCTGTTTGCTGACGTCTCTTCCTCCATTGTATCGTATGCAGCTGCTGCACCAAGGTATAACGTGCCACATCTATGTGTCTGTTAACATTTAGTTTTCAGTTTCATGGGAAATGTGGGCATATACTTTAGGCAAAGGCTTAAAGGGAATATTTTTATACAGTATTTTAGATCTTTCATGCTAAAGTTGAAATGAAAGCTGAAGTTGAAATGAAGGGAGTTTATTAAAGATGTTGGGGAGGAAGGTTAGATCCTAAACTTGCACACTTCCCCTTGCCTACATAAACAGTATGGGTCTCACACCAAGGACTTTCCTTTGTGTATCTCTAATATCCCTCAGCCTCACCATCTATATCCTTACAGCAACTCCATAGCTCAATCTTCACAATAGTGAGCAGGTTTCTATCACATTCATTAGGATCTAACTGATCTACTGAAATAGTAGTTTGTTGCAGTTACAGTCTCATTTACCAGAATGCATTTAATTGATGTCACTTTTTCTCAATAAAATAAAGGATTAATGTAATAAGGCATTACAGTCCTCTAATTATTGTATATGCTCCTTTTATGATCCAGGTTTACTTAATCTATACCTATTTACAATTTATAGAAGTACAGGAAGTTTAATTTATAAGCTCATTTATATTTTGTCTGTAGCCTAGCTTTACACACTCCTGGTCTGTACGTGAGTCTGACCCCTGTAAACTGTTTTCATAAGCTAATGCCGTGACGTACTGTTCCAGGTCTCTCTACTTGCCACTTTGCTTGGGCTTTTCACTCCGAGGCAGAAGAGGAGCTTCTGAACATGATCCCAGCGATGCAGAGAGGAGACCCGCAGTGGTCCGAGCTAAGAGCCGTAGGAGTGGGCTGGTGGGTCAGGAACATCAACACTCTCAGGAGGATGGTGGAAAAGGTACTGATTTCCACATATGCTGAACCTCCTTGATTTAATAAGCAGAGCTACCTTGTTTTATTATCCATTACCAATGTTTCCAACTTCGTCGTGAGTTTGTCTTGTGGTCAACTGCAGATATTTGACTATATGCATGAAGCGGTTTGGAGTGTTCTCATGATTTGTTTTTTTTTTTGGTTCCAGGTTGGGAAAGCTGCTTTTCAAAAGAATAATGATCCATTGGATGCTGCCTTGTTTTACCTCGCCATGAAGAAAAAAGCTGTTCTTTGGGGGCTGTTTAGGTAATAACACAAGCCACTTACTTGAGTATTAAATTTAATACTATTATTAAATAGTTAATACTCAAGTATAAGTCAACACAAGTTTTAGATGGTATGTTGGGGTGATGATATATGTTGCCTCAATTCTCTTGAGTTCTGGGTTTGATTACAGGCTGGGGTACTGTGTGGAGTATGCATGTTCATGTGGGTATTCTTTGGGTGTATTGATTTCCTCTTGCCTTTGAGGCCTGTGCTGGTTAGGTCAATTAAATTCAAATTTTCCTCAGTATTCTCTGTATTAGTACAACATCTCACTGTTTTATGAGCAAAAGGAAGGCTTTTACAGCCAAAACTTTTGTGTAATGTGCGTAGATTGAGAAGTGGAGTACAAAGACTTTCTTTTGCACATTGTTATTCTTGATTGGCAGGTCCCAGCATGATGAGAGGATGACCCAGTTCTTCAGTCACAACTTCAGTGAAGACAGGTGGCGCAAAGCAGCATTAAAGAATGCCTTTTCCCTCCTTGGAAAGCAGCGGTTTGAGCAGTCTGCAGCCTTCTTCTTACTGGCGGGTTCACTGAAAGATGCCATTGAGGTTCAGAGATTTAATTTTTTGAAAGTGAAATGAGTTTGCTTCAGAAAAATGATATTTTGAATATCTAAATTCTAAAAGGTGTATATGAAATATTAAGGCCTGCATAAATAAGGAACAAAAATAAGTAATATGGGAAGGAAAATATAACTAACTAAAGCTTGTTTTCTTGAAAGAACTCTACTTGAACCAAATGACACAGCTGTGATATCTTTACATTGTAGATTCATAGGAAGAGAGGCAAGCCTAGCTGCATTTTAGAGTTGTGACATTTAACAAAATGACACTTAAAAACTACTGAGTGAAAAGGTGAATTTTCTGAATATGAAACTGCTCTATTCCCTTTATGATGATTGAGCTTTATAAATCATATCTTTGTTTCATGTCCTGTCAGATTGTACAGCTTGTCCACCTCAGGCATTCACACCAAAACTGTTTTTCTGAATGCAACTTGTTAATCGGGTGTCTGTTAGATCTAGAAACAGTACATTTGAGTATAAATAACACTATTACCTAGTGGGTACTTGGCCGACACCTTTATCCAAGCCAGCTCGTACTGAAAGTGTGGCAGTTAGCAAAACACTAATAATTAAATGTCTGCCATCTGTACTGGCTGACGAAGGCTGATATCCAGGAATAAAGGCACACAAAATGAAATGTTTTGCTCACAATGCAGCTTAATGACCAGAGTTTTTATGTTGATTTGAAAATTACAATGTGCCATGGTAATGTTCTATATGCTTAACATTACATGGAAAACTAGCTTGTGATTTGTTTTAGGAAAAAAAAACGTGCCTGACCATGAAGAAAATAAATGGTGTGATTGTCTCTCTGTGGTTTTGATCACTTTTCTTATATAACCCTGAGATTTGTGTTTCTTGGGAGTAGATGTAGTCTAAACTATTCAGATAAGTCAACGCAAGTACTAAGAAAATCACACATTTAGTTTACCTTGAGGAGAATGTTTATCACTACTTATAGTCTAAACAACAAGATAAGACATACATCCATGTTAAATTCAGTCTTGTGCCTCTCTGTTTGAAGTTTTTGCAATAAAACAGTTACTGTATATACTTTGGACTAAATCTGTTAGTGTTTTATTTACTACGTTCTTATGTAGTAATGTGCTAAGTTTTTACAGGATACTATTGGTTATTATAGAGTCGATTTTTGTAGAAGTAGAAGCAGTTCTGTAGTAATTCTTTATATGTAGTGAATTTTACAGCTATCCAAGTTTACACATTTTTTTAAAAAGTAAAATTTTGGTGGCATAAATGTTCACATGACTCTTGTTTTGGACTTTCATAGGTGTGCCTTGAGAAAATGGACGACATCCAATTAGCCATGATTGTTGCTCGGCTTTATGAGTCTGACTATGAAACCTCCTCTACTTGCACGGGCATTCTTTATGAACGAGTTCTGGGATGTATGAAAGATGGAACAGGCTTCTCTTGCACTAAGTTACACCCAGATCCTTTTCTGCGGAGCATCTCATACTGGATAACAAAAGACTATACAAAGGCTCTGGATACACTTTTAGAACAGATACCAAAGGAAGATGATGAAAATCCAGGTAATTTGATTTGGTGGTTTTACTTAAAACAATACTGTGGTATATGTAAACTTTATGATTCATTTGTCTGTAGATAAATGTTCTTGCTTCTTGTTCCTGAGAAGACAAAAATTGCTCTTTGAGTTATCTGGACAAAGTGAAAGAAAAGGTTGGTAACTGTAGATTCCTCAAGGTACAGTTTGAAAGGCATTACGTGTCGATAAGAAAACTCGGTTGATGTAGTCTTTGCAGAAATGTAGCGAAAATTAAAAATCACTAATTTGTGGTTGACTAAAAGTCTTCATGCATGTTTTTGAAGCCGTTGTCCTGGCTTCTTTCAAGAATTGGCTGCTGAGATTCTTGGATCAAATAGCTAGCTATGACCTAACAGCCTGGATAAGTTGAAAGTCCTGCTTTTGTTTGTAACCATTCTTGTTCTTGATATTTTTCCAGATGTGATGGTGAAATCTTGCAATCCTGTTGTCTTCAGCTTCTATAACTATTTACGAACCCATCCTCTGCTGATCCGAAGACACTTTGCCTCTCCAGACAGCACGTTAGCTACTTTAGGCCTGACAGCTGAAAAGAGCAATGCAGATGAGATCAATCTCATCGAGCGGAAGTTATTCTTCACCACTGCTAATGCCCACTTCAAAGTCGGTTGTCCAGTTTTAGCCCTCGAGGTGCTCTCCAAAATACCAAAAGTTACCAAGAAGTCCACTTCCTCCTTGAGCAAGGAGTCATCAGTGATTAATGCGAGGTCATCTCAGCCGCAGGAAAATGGAGGAAGAACTAGTGACGTGGACTGGTCAGTGTCAGACATGTCCTCCGCGGGTTTGGCGTGGGGGAGTAGTGGCGATACCGCCACAGTAATTGACTGGAGCCAGCCGGTGATGACCCTGGAAGACGAGGGCTTGCAGCTGGACTGGGGAGATGACAAAGACGAGGATGAAGAGGAGGAGGAGAATGGTGGTTTAACAATGAAAGCGTCTAAATCAGATGAAAAGGTTGCACTGCCAAAAGAGCAGCTGAGCTCAGGAACAGTGAAACCTCAGGGTCTTAAGAGAGGGGACTCCGGGGCTGCGGACTCGGAGGTGGATGTAATCGCCGAGCAGCTAAAATTCAGAGCATGCTTAAAGATTCTGATGACTGAGCTCCGCACACTGGCTACGGGGTATGAGGTGGATGGAGGCAAGCTGCGGTTCCAGCTCTACAACTGGTTAGAAAAAGAAATAGGCGCCATGCATCAGATCTGTAACTACAAGGTCAAGGGCAAGGAAGCTTCACCCGAACTAGAGAAATGGAAAGACAGCGATTCACTGGATCAGGACAGTGCTCTAGACAAGACTGATGCGGGGTCCTATGAACGGCACCAGCTGGAGCGTCGTAGGTTGCAGGCCAAACAGCAGCATGCAGAAAGGCGCAAGGGCTGGCTGAGGAAAAACCAAGCACTGCTGCGAGTGTTTCTGAGCTACTGCAGCCTGCACGGTGCACAGGGAGGGGGAGTTGCATCTGTAAGAATGGAACTCATATTTCTGCTGCAGGAGTCACAACAGGTCAGCTCTTTAAGCTTTTAGAATTGAACTGAACCTTTTTCGAATTTTGTATACCCTGCCTTATTCCCTTTTCTTTCTTATTGCAGGAAACTACAGTAAAACAGCTTCAGTCCCCTCTTCCGTTGCCAACAACGCTGCCTTTGCTCTCTGCAAGCATTGCTCTTACCAAGACTGTCATAGCAAACCCAGTTTTGCACCTGTGTAACCATATTCACGACATTCTGTATACAATAGTGCAGATGGACTCTCCACCACATCCTGATTTTCCCGATGTAAGGGTAAGAACTGGTGACTCCAGAAAATGCAAATATTAGTCCTGAAATTCACAAAAGCACCAGAGATTCTAGAATCAGCTGTGTAATGAAGCATATGACAGCAGATGTGTCATGTAAAATAAGCCAGATTGGATAATAAAGCAGGTGGATAAATGTTGCTAGTGTATATTAGTACAGTATGTAATATTTATTCCTCCACCTGAAGTCTTGTGTCTCTCAGTCGTGTTTTTATTTAAATATATGTATGGTATGAAACATGGCACCTTCATGATTTGTTTTCTGTTAAACTAAGTATAGTCGATATAACTTTTTGTACAGAGTATCTTGAATATTGTAGAAGCAGCTTTAGTGTGTTGAATAACATGCTGCACTTCTGCTATTAATGGTGTCGGTTGGTTTGTCCTGCAGGTTTACTTATTGCACACGCTGGCAGCTTCCCTTTCTGCATGCATCTACCAAGCCCTGTGTGACAGTCACAGCTACAGGTACAGGTTGTATTGGACAGCTAGTTTGTGATATATAGAGAGATCTCATGCCTACATACAGTATATGAAAAACCAAGCTAAACATTTAAGAAAAAATATGCATTTATCTTTCTGTGTAACTCCACGTTTTTCCAATCTTCTTCCAATTAAGCAGCCAGACGGAAGCAAATCAGTTCACAGGAATGGTTTATCAGGGCCTGCTGTTAAGTGAAAGACGAAGATTACGCACTGAGAGCATCGAGGAGCATGCAACGCCAAGCTCACTTCCTGCCCAGTGGCCAGGTTTGGAATTTGGCCAGCTTCTTGCTTTTCTGAGTTTTTCCTATTCTTTTTCAAGCATTTATCCCAACTTCACTGCAGCTGCTTCCTCTTTATTTTCCATTCTTGCTTTGGAAGTAGAGCCTGTTAATTTGCTCTTTGCAGGAATCATGATCATCTCCTTCATGTCTGTCTTCATACTAACTTATAAGAGAAGGCAGGCACATCCTTGAAAACCTGTTCCATTTTCCAAGTATTCAAAGATTTTGCATTTTCTACAATCCACTTTGACAGAACAGATGGTGTACTGTGTGAAGGCTTTTGTAAGCATACAGTGTGAAGAACAGAAACGAGCAGAGCACAGTACTGAGATACTGTGCTTGTTACAGTACATTACATTAATTGCATAATTCCGTGGAAAAACTAACATGAATAATAAATCTGTGACCTATCTTGGGTTACATTCCCAAAGATATCTTATGTGGGCCATAGTCAGCGAGGTGCATTGCTCTGATGTAGTCCTGTTGTCTCCATGCAGGTGTGACCTCGCTCATTAATCTGCTCGCCTCTGCCCAGGATGAGGACCAGCCTAAGCTGAACATCATGTTGTGTGAGGCCGTCGTGGCTGTTTATCTCAGTTTGCTGATCCATGGCCTAGCCACCCACTCTAGCAACGAGCTGTTTCGGCTCGCTGCACATCCCCTGAACAGCCGCATGTGGGCTGCTGTGTTTGGAGGAGGTGCAAAACTAATAGTGAAGATGAAGAGACCCTCAGAGACTGCACCAGGTATGAGCATTATTTCAGTGCTGTCAGTGGGTGCATTCAGTGATCCCTGTCTACTGTATACATCTGTGACTTTTGCCTAACAGCAGAACAGTGGTATAGTAAGACAATCCTTATGGAGCTCAGTTTGATTTTATAACCAGGAGAATATTTCTGAATATTTCAGTAAAATTTGCTCTGAACTAAATGAAGTAGTAAACACATTCACGTGCCTGTAGAATGACCATACATATATGACAATCGAAGAAGAATAAAATAAAGCTCGTTAATTATAGCAGGAAATACAATTATATCACTAATCACATGTAAAATGATTTCCCAATAAGAGAAAAGCAAGTTCAATCAAGTTTCTTTTATCTACTTTGAAAGTTTAGAAGAATCTGGCAAAATTCATCACGTGAAATATTCAGGAATGAAATGTATATGACTATGAATAATGTGTTAATAGCAACAGCTGAAAGAGAATATTAATATGTAACAGTGTTTATGCACCCAATGCCAGTATGCTTTGCATACAGTATGTGCCTTACTGTGTTGCTTGTTATGGTGAATTATTTAATGCCACCATAACATTGTTTACTTTTGACAGCTGTGTTAGATGGAGATAAAACAGAAAGCTTGTATATAGTAGGAACTGAACAGAGTAGACCAGCACATACTGAGCAGCAATCTGCATTCCAAATCACTCTGTCTACTACTGTGAGTGCCACTGAACTTAAAGGAGACATGTCACCTCCATCAAATTGTGAGTAAAGTTAGTTGGTTGCGGTGCTGTGCCAAGCTCCTCTAATTTTCCTTTATTTTTTTTACCTTATTTTCTACCTAAATGCTGAATTATTTTCAGCTTATGCCAAATGTAATTTGCTTTGCATACAAAATCAGTTTGATTTTTTAACTTGTTAGGAAACAGTGTTTCCTTAAAAAAACTACCAATCATTTTGTAAATCAGGTTGGAATGATGTGCATGTGTTTTGCAGTGTGGGGTGGATTTGCAGAGCAACGTAGTGTTTGAAATGCTGTTAAAATAATGTTACTTAAACATGCTTGTCTATCAACAATGCAGCCAATGCTGATAACATTTACATGGATTCTGAATCCAAAGGAGACCAGAGTTCATATTGTAATGATACTGATGCAGGTATAAATTTTACATTACTTTGTGTTTTTATCTTTCAGCTGTATTTATGTAGCTCAGTGTTGCAGAAATAAACTATCCCTTCTTTAAACCAGAGCTGTTCAGACAAAAATGCATCCATTGTCATGAGACATTCTGAGCTAAATGGCACTGGTATTCATAAATGTCCACACGAACTGTGAAAACTGTTGAAAAGGAACTTTGCGTCATTTCTGTCCTTACATTTTGAAATTACTTGAAATATCTATAAAAAGCCTTGGAGTCATAATTCGCTACAGAAGTATCAAGTCTGTTCATTTTAGTCAAAATATTGTATGATTTTTTAACTTTTTTTTAACTTTTCTTTCCCTTGAAATTGTCCTTGATTCTGACCTTTCCTACAGATGAGAACATATGGCACTAAATAAAATAATTCTCTTAACTGTATTCATCTGTATACAGCACCTTCAGAAAGTATTCACCCCCGTTGGATGTTTTTCAGAATTTGTTGCAAACTCAGATAGAAATGCATTTATGTGGGATTTTTTGTCACTGATCTACACAAACTGCTCTGTAAAGGAAAGATTATGTAACCACCCAAACACTTCCAGGCAAGAAGGAGAGACGTTTCCAAGAACCCATTGACCAACCTGACAGAACTACAGATTTGTATGGCTGAGATGGCAGATGTTGTTCAAGGACAGCAGTCACTACGCAGATTTAGTCTCTTAGGGAAAGTGGCTAGACAGAAGTAAATAGCACTTCTAGAGAAGAAGGCAGGTGGCAGAACCTGAGACCATGTGACAATAGATTCTCTGTTCTGATGAAATAAAAATTAAACTCTTTGGCTTGAAAGCAAAGCACTGTGCTCAACACTTGTCTAACAGATGCTTCACTACCATGATCACCGTCATCATCTTGTGAAGGTGCTTTTCAGGGGCTTAGACTGGGGCAAAAGGACTTTAAGACTGTTGTTACATCCAACTTGTCAGAGCTTGAGCCTGCATGAATGGGTGTAAATCCCCCAATCCAAATGTGCAAAGCTGATGGAAACACTCCCAAGAAGACTCAAAGCTGTAATTCCTACAAAAGGTGCTTCTACAAAACTGAGTTTTCTCAAACTGAGGGCAGTGAATATTTCAATATGGTGGTGCAGTGGTTGCAGTTGCTGCCTTGAAGCTCTGGAGCCCTGGGCTCAGTTCCAGAGCTGGAGTCCTATCTCGTGGAGTTCGTACGTTCTCCGCATGCTCACATTGGTTTCCTCCAGGTTCTCCCGTCTCTTCCCACAGTCCAGAAACATAGTGGTAGGTTAATTGGCTTGTACGAAGATTGACCCAGGCGTGAGTGTGCGTCTGCCCTGCGTGGGGCTGGCATCCTGTCTAAACTGTGCCCTGCCTTGCACCCACTGATGGTTGGGATAGGCTCCCACTCCCATGTAACTCTAATTTGGAAAAAGGGCAGAAAGGGGGTGGGTAAATTCTTGTTGGATGCTAAAAATATTTTCCCCTTTAAACTGTTATATATGTTGTGTGAATTAAAGTCATCTTCATGTGCTACAAATTCAGGTTGTAATACAGTACATATGGGACTGGAAACTTTCTGAAGGCACTGTAACTTATTAGTCATCTCAGAGTGATTTTCCTCCAAATGGACGATTTGAATGGTTTACAGTGATTCCTAAAATATTTTGCTTCACCTAGATAATGTACAGGGTCTGTAAATACATATGTGTAGGGCGTCTTTTATGTGAACTTCTTATAATACACTGTACAATTTTATAGAGATGTTATTTACATTTTAACTGTTTTATCTGTTTGCATTCATGATATCTACAGTAGCTGTTTTCTCTATAAATATAATTAAATGGGGTACAAGTCATTGGTGGTGCTTTTAGTATTTATCACTGAATTTATTTTATAGGGTTTAATTCCACTGTACAGTACAATAGCTGGAAGCCTTTGTTGTTTTCTCATGCATACCAAAGAGGGCTAAATAATTAAAGTTGGTAAAGTAAATTAATAATAAATACAAGACAATTCAGTCGGAGAACTTCATTTGAAGGTATAACAAAACAATTAAAGCAGACCAAGAATGAGTCATTTAAATGATTAACAGAAAAAAATAAGTGATTTGTTTTGCGGTTGTTATCTTTGCATGTTAATTTAATCAGTGTTAAAGATAAAAACTAATGTATTAGGGGGCAGATGTGCGTGAAGGGATGGGAAATATGCCATTTAATTAGTCACTTGAGTGGTCTTTAATTTTCCTGGTTAAAAGTGTGACATTCTCATCGGTGCTTTTGTTGGATGCGGATGAGAGATGCTGAATTAATTCTTATTCTCTTTAGAAATACCAGCATTGCAGGTGCTCATGAGACGTGACTGATACATAGACTGCTTTCTCTGTTTCCCCCCTCTCTCTCTGTGTGATGTAGCTCCTCCTGCCCCTGCAGAAGAGGTAGACAAGCATCGCCGCCGGTTCAACATGAGGATGCTGGTGCCTAGCAGGCCATCCAAAGAGACAGTGACACCTCCTCCGGTCCCCACAGAGAGGCCAACGTACAAGGAGAAGTTCATTCCTCCAGAGCTTAGCATGTGGGATTATTTTGTGGCCAAAGTAGGGGTTACAATTTAAGCTCTTTATTTTAAATAATAGTTACAAGCACGCATGCATCTATCCATTTTCTGACAATGCCAAGAGGCGCAAGGCAGGATACACCAATCCATCAACAGGCAGACCCAGGCATAGACACACTCGCACCACTGCCAATATTCCCATAAGCCAGTTAACCTACCCGTATGTCAGTGAACTGTGACAGGTAACTGGGCCACCTGGCAGAAACCCACACAAATGGGGAGAACATAAAAATTCCACTCATATAGCACCCCAGGTCCAGAATTGAACAAAGGGGCCCAGGTGCTGCACATCAGCAGTGCTAATCACTGTGCTACAGTGCCACCCACAAGTATAAATATTTGATGAAATTTAAATGTCACTCATTAACTGTTATTCCTTTAAACATACCTCCTCTGTGAATGTGTTTAGTAACAGGACCTATGAAATGTTATCCTTTTTTGCAGCCCTTCCTCCCATTGTCGGAGAGTGGCGCCCTGTACGATTCTGATGAGAGCATTCCAAGTGACGAGGAGGATGATGACGATGCATTCCTTTCTGACACTCAGATGACGGAGCATTCTGACCCAAACTCTTACAGGTCTGCTACCTGTTTTTTCTGTTCAAGACTGCATATGTACAGTATATATACAGAAAGGCTACACTGACAACTTCTGTTCTAAGGACTGTTCCTCTTTTCATCTATTCCAAAACCTTATTATTAGTGAAGCAGTTCAAGATAGAAAGGATAGATTTTATTGTGATTATTAACTCTGCCATATTTGATGTAATGCATGCATTTATTTCTTTCCTGCAGCTGGGCACTAATGCGATTAGCCATGGTTAAGTTAGCTCTGCACAATATCAGGACGTTCTTTCCTGTGGCCGGACTGGAATTTGCAGGTACACAAATATGTACAGCAGTTTTCATGATGGGCATCTTCCTATTGCCTTTCTATTAAATTGATTTGTTGTATTGATTGCCCCTGGAGGTTGTTTTTTCTCATGTTGTAGTGCTTCAAGAGATGTTCAACCCTGAATTAATGTGTTGCATGTCACTCTTTTAAGACTTACCTGTCAACTCACCTTTGGGTAATGCGGTCATGAAAACATTGGAAAACTGGGAGCAGGTTCTGGTGGAAAAAATGAACAAGTTTGAGGGTCCTCCACCAAATTACATCAACACCTACCCCAGTGACCTTACTGCAGGAGGGGGGCCAGCCATACTGAGACACAAAGCCATGCTGGAGCCAGAGAACACTCCCTTCAAGTAAGCACCATTGCAATGAATTGCATTCGCTTCACCTTCAAGGCTTTCAGGCTCTCACAAAGAGAAGTGTGATTTTATTTCACCATGTAAAGCTTTTCATATTGCTTTCTCAGGGCCAAACATCACCTGGCATTTCCTGTTAAACGGCTGTGGCATTTTCTGGTGAAGCAAGAGGTCCTGCAGGAGACTCTGATTCGCTACATCTTCACCAAGAAGAGGAAGCAGAGTGAGGTAAATGTGGGAAGAGCAGAGCCTTTCTGTTGTTTCCAGCTTTCTGCCTGTTCTCCCATTCAGGCAACACAAAATAATGAGCTACCAGTGTAGCTCCTATTTTGTTCCCATGCACATATTTAACATAACCATGACTTTTTATGCATTTTACTTGCTCAGTCCTACATGAATAGATTGTCATGTAGTGCAAAGTTGATACTGAACTAAATCCCCCTTTGCCTATCTTATTCTTATTCTTATTCTTATTATTATTATTTAAACAATTTTTTCAATTGGTTGTCAAAAGATTGAGTACATTTAGAAACTCAAAACGCCTTCATGTTATCAGGCAATACCCCAAAACCAGTGATCTGATTCAAGGTAAGTTATATACTGTAAGGGGGCAAAACCATGCATGGCAATCACGCAGGTAGAAACCATCTGGTAAGCTCTGACCACAGTTCAGGTAAAAAGTGGTGTGTGATTGGCATTGGCAAAATTGCCCATGTGTGTGCCTTCTTTATGCAGTTAAGAATTCTTTTCATTTCTTTTCATTTCATGTTTTGTTTCTGTGCATGTGTTTTGTGTTGTGACTGTGTGATGTGTTGTGTAGTCTGTAGAAGACCATGTGGAGCAACTCAAACAAAACTGCGTAGCGGGAGATCGCAAAAGCAACAAGGTAGTATCCCTCTGCCGAGATCCTCACCTTGAGCAGCTTCCTATCTTTTCAGTGGCTTTGCGCCTTTGTTGACATGAAACATGTTCTGGGACACTGCGGCTGTGGATCAATGAAGATTCATTTTAATTGTTGGAATTGCATCACTGTTTCTTTAACAAAAGCTGTTAAGACTGCTATACTCATGCCATTAACAAACTTCGAAATTTTAAACATGTGGCTTTTACCAAAACTGCAAGAGCTTTTCTAGAACAAAACTATTTGTGCAGGTGACTGCTCAACATAGGTTGTGTCAGCATGCATGTGTGATATCAGCATGCATAAGGCATAGAGACTTTCATCCAGGAAATGCCAAACCCACTGAACAGATGCAGTACATGGGTTTTGATATGCATGGTTTTTAACTATTTTATAAAGCCAAAGAATACTCCAGTGCTGCAGTGCAGGTTAAATGTGAATATATGACCTTACAGCATGTCAATTTTATTTCAGGTGGAAGCAGATCTTGGCTATCCAGGAGGAAAAGCTAAAATTATTCACAAGGAATCAGACATTATAATGGCCTTTGCCATTAACAAGGTAGGGCATTCCATAACTTCAGACAACAAGTGTTTATTCCCGTCATGGGAGCTGCAAAGTAACAAGTATATCAGCCATCAGAAGTGAAACCATTTACAGCATGTTATTTCTGCAATGCTGGCCACCCAGTGTTGGTTTTTAGATTGTTTAAATATGACACACTACACCATGATAATAGAATGTATACTTTTTATTCCCATTGTTTTGCAGTCAAATAATAATGAAATAGTCCTTGCATCAACCCATGATGTGCAAGAAGTTGACATTTCCATTCTTCTGGCTGCTCAGCCATATACCTGGATTGGGGAGGAGTGTGACCGGGAGTCACGGAGGTAGTTTTTTAACCGCAGTCATGCTTAATGGAGCCTTTGCAGGCTGTGCTGATGTGTCAGTGCGAGAATAACGTTTTGTGTTTGGTGGTGTTTCTTCAGCTCTGACGATCTTGATCATCGGTCTTCCCACACCAATATTGCCCAGGCTAGCGCTCCACATTTTGCCTCCACTCAGATACCAGCCTCCGCATCGATGCCATGGCTAGGCAGTGGGCAAACAAGCATGGGGGCGAGTGTGGTATGTAGCTGGCTTTCTAAAGTAAGCAGGATCCAGCGGTCCTGCAATACTATCATCCTGCCACTAGGTGGACATGGCGTGCTTTTTAGAAAGCCCTGTTTTCAGACATAAAATGAGGATTTGTTATTTGTATTTTTGTTTTGTTTTGACAATTTCAAACATCTAATCTAAAGATGTTTTAAATGTTTCGGCTCTGATGTTTCCATGTTATTTCAAATCGAGTTATTACAGTGCAGAAATGGAGCTTGGAGTATACAGATAATTTTTGTGTCCAGTTAAAGTTGACCTATATGTATACCTTAATTTTGTGATAAAAGCATGATATTTTTTTAAATTGGTCCTGATTGATTTTAAGTTTTAAAATGTAGGCCCTTTTGCTTAATCATATTTTACAGCATTTAATTCTTATTATTTTTTAATATTATTAATTATTTCTTATTTATCTGAATTACACAAATGTAAATATTACAATGTCTTGGCTGAGAAAGAACAAGTAATAGGTTTATTCCATGCTGAAAAAAAGAAGAATCAGGTGTGGGAAGAAGGCTCCACGGCCAAAACGTTGTGTTTTTTTCTTCTTTTTTTTTCAGCATGGAGTAAACCTATTACTTGTTCCTATATTCACAATATATTTGTATCTAAAGTGGTTTAGTGCCAGGTATTCCACTGTTACCACTAGCCATTAGATAAATTCAGCATATTGTAGAATTAGTTCTTACAGAATTTACCTTATGTAAACGACTTGGTCTTAACCAAAATATGATGTAGCAATCTCTGTTTTGGTGAGGTGTGTGGTGATCTTTTTTTTAAGTTAATGGTGTAGTAAAAAAAAAGCGGGTTTAAATAAGCAACTCCATGATGAATTACCCTGTACACTGTTGTCACACTAAAATGATTGAATTGTGGGATTTCAGTGTGTCTCAACAATAACAAGATTCTAGCTCATCACATGTTTTAGGCACTCTTAAAGGTTGTTTCTTATTGTATCAATAGGAGTGAATAAAGTTCTGAACCAAAGTCTGGATAGTAATATTAGTCTTTGCAAAATGTGTTGCAGATTATGAAAAGGAACTTGAATAATGTCAAAAGAATGACCTCACATCCCGTTTACCAGTATTGTAAGTATCAGTATTTATGAACTAAGCCTTCACGGACTATACTGACTTTTACTTACTGTAATGCTTGTAATGATTATTTGAAGCGCTTTTGTTAAACCTATGAAGGGGATGATGCTATTATGTATTTAATCCTGAGTAAAACATTGGTCTTTCTTTTTTAGCATCTTGCATGTTTCAAATGGTATTGATTGTAAAATAGATATGTTACTATATTTATAGTAATTCAGCATCTTTCCTCCCCTGCAAATTGTGATCAGATTTAACTGGAGCTCAGGATGGCAGTGTGCGGATGTTTGAATGGAGTCGACCTCAGCAACTGATATGTTTTCGACAGGCTGGCAATGCAAGGGTCACAAGAATGTACTTCAATTCTCAAGGAAACAAGGTAAAATAGCTTGTGTTGCTTATGAAGCTAGGGCTGCTTGTTTTTTTTTTATTGCACGTGGTGGATGCCAGTATTTCTATGATGTCTCTGAAATACATCTCGAAAAGTTGTGTACTTGGGTACTAAAGTGCAAACATTTTACATTATTTAAAAATAACTCCATACTCAAAGTAGCCGTTAGGTTTGCCCTACTTCGCTTGAATAGGAATGAAGACCTGATGAAACATATCGCCCATCAGGGAATGAGAACCTTGTGCCATCTGTGTGTAATTTGCACTTTACTCTCACGCGTCTCATATTTAGAAAGTGTACAGAACCTTTCCTCTTTAAAATTGTTAAACTGCAGTGTGAAAAGTGAGATTTTATTTCTTTTGTTGTGACAGTAGATTTAGGTATATCTTAATCCAGTTCAGATTTGCTACTGTTTTTTTCCTTTTAACAATAAACCATTTCAGCAATATTTAATTATTGAATCATTTCTCAGATTTGCATTAGGTTCTTAATTTCTTTTATATTAACCACTTATTTTTGTTGGTATGCTGCATGTTTGTTTTAAGACATATCAGACATATATACAATATGTGGATGTTTTGCACAGTGTATATCCTTGTCTGCTATAAAAGTTATCCTGGGCCTTATACAGTACATTCAGGCAAGAAATAGCCCTTTTAGATTTTTTTCCAAATTTGTTTTCTGAGTCAGTTCATTTTAGTGTAATGCATACCTTTTTTTTTCTGCAGTGTGGGGTCGCAGATGGAGAAGGATTTTTAAGCCTTTGGCAAGTAAACCAAACAGCATCTAATCCTAAACCTTATTTGGTAAGTAGAAAAAAGTAGAAAAAAAACTTCATCAAGAATCTGTCATTGTAAGCATATAAACAGAATTAGTGAAGCGTGGTTAATTTAATGTTTGCTAAATAACTCCGCAAGCATACCATAGATTTATAATCTTTTCTACATTTTCTTGTCATCTCTGAGGCCGAAAGGAGATCCATGGTCTTAACTAACACATTCCTTACTCTCACTGTAGAGCTGGCAGTGTCACACTAAATCAACTGGAGATTTTGCTTTTATAACCTCCTCAAGCCTCATTGCTACAGCAGGGCAGTCCAATGACAACAGGTAATTAAGACTGTGCCCATTGATTTTATGAGAAGAATGGCTTAGACGTTTTATTCTGGAGAGAACTGTTGTATAAATGTGATTATTCTATAACTTTGTTAAAAGAGAAAATCTCAATTGTAAATGTAAAATCTAGATGTTTTATTTTCTGCATATACGATTGTATCATATATTTAGTGGAAATTAAACAGCCCTTGCACAGAAACTAAAGGACAGAATGAACACTATTTCTTTCCTTGTCTTGTTCTAAACAGAAACGTGTGTTTGTGGGACACTCTGATTTCGCCTAATAATAGCCTGGTGCATGGTAAGTTAGTTTCCAAGAATATTAGTGGTTGTGGGCAACATTGATGTGTGGAATGTTACTAAAGCTGTCTCATATTTCCAGCTTCCTGAGTTCTGATCTGTCTGTGTGGAGCTTGCGTGTTCTCCCTTGTTTCTCAGTACGTTTTTGGAAGGTGCTCCAGGCCTTTCTCCCCAGCTCCAAAAGATTGGCTAAATTTGATGACCATTCCTAGATTGTCCCTTTCTCTGTGACCCTGCACATGACTGTACTGCACATCCTGTGCAGGGGGAGAGCTACCTTGTGCTTCCAGGCTGGGTTCCAGCTAAGCATAATCCTCACCATCAGTAAGCAACTGATGATGGATGGATAAATGTTTCACATGTACGTTCAATCTGAACACTCACACGTGCACACGTTAAGTAACCATCAGAATTATGGGTAGTAGTAACCCTCTAAATTATTTAAATGTATTTGAATAAGCAGTCTCCCTGGTGTTTGAAATCTGTGAATGACGTGTCTCATTGGAAGATGCATTTCTGTGAATTGACAATTTCCACTGTGCCTGATGTGCTCCGTTTTTCTCACTAGCTTTCCCCTGTCATGACAATGGTGCCACGGTACTCCAGTATGCACCTAAACAGCAGCTTATTGTTTCTGGAGGTAGAAAAGGCTTCATCTGCATATTTGATATAAGACAAAGACAACTGCTTCACACATTCCAAGCACATGATTCAGCCATCAAAGCTCTGGCGATGGACTCCTCAGAGGACTTCTTTATCACTGGCTCCGCTGAAGGAAACATGAAGGTACCTGCTTTTAGAGAGCTTTTAATGTTTAAGATCTATGACGCAGATCTGGAATCAGTATGGGACGGGCTATGCCGCTAGAGGAGATAAAAGCAAGCTGTGATTCTTTATGGTCCAGTGATGGCACTAAATGCGATTTGATTTATTTTAATTCAAAATCAAATTATGTCCAAGTGAGTGGTAAGAAACTTGGAGAGTTAAAGCTACCAGTGTTGTTGTATAGAATACAGTTAGTTTACCACGGAAATTGTATCTGATAAGAGTTACACAAATCCTGCAGCTTGGGCTGGTTCTCGCCTTCATACTGATTTGCTTATTTTAAGCAAATGCATTCCGAAGTTTTTAAGGAACGAATTAAGTGTTATATTCTCAATCAGCTTGCAGAACCTAGTTTAGTATTGCAATCATTGAAATGTGGTGCAGTGGTTGGCCCTGCTGCCTCGCAGCTCTTCTGTCCTGGGCTCGGTTCCAGACCTGGGGTGCTCTCTGAGTGGAGCTGGTGGCTTCTTTCCTTGTTTGCCTGGGTTTCATCTAGATCCTCTGGTTTTCTTCCCGCTTCCCAAAGACACACTGGTAGCTTAATTGATCTGTGGGGAAAACGGGCCCTGGTGTAGGTGTGTGCGGGTTTGTGTCTGTGTGTCTGCCCCGCGATGGACTGCCCTCCCGTCCGGGCGGTGTCTCCCTCCCTTACGCCCGTTGCTTGCCAGGACAGGCTCTGGCTCCTGTGGGGCGCTCTAGTGGGTAAAGCAGTTCGAAAATGGAGGGACGGAAAATGTTTGACGCGGAAGCATTGCATTACTCAACACCTGTGAGATGTGGATTGTTCCTCATGCAGCACACGAGAATGTTATCGTTTCTAACATTTCCTCCCATTCCGATTCTGTGTTGGACAGGTGTGGAAATTAACAGGTCATGGATTGATTCACTCATTTACAAATGAGCATGCTAAGCAGTCCATCTTCAGGAACATCGGTGCTGGGGTCATGCAGATTGAAACCTGCCCAGGAAATCGCATTTTCACATGTGGAGCAGATGGGACCCTGAAAATGAGGGTTTTGCCTGACCGTTACAATATACCTGCAAGTATATTTGATATTTTATAAATTATACACATAAAGCTTTTGACAGCAAAATTTAAGTTCCTTGATTGTGGATAGTGGCAAAGTGAAGCTTACAGTTATTTTTCCAAAGCTTGATAAGAGATGCAAGGAATTCTACTTGAGTTTAAAAAAGTTACATTTGTTCCAGAATCTCTTATAGAGTGTATTAATAGGAAAGCTATGCATGTACTGTAATTGTAAAAGCGGTGCAATCACAGGTTATTGGTTGTGCTCTGTAAAAGTACTCAATGCCGATTTTTTTTTTTTAAAAGGTGTGTATCTGTTGTCATTTTGTGCCCACAGCTATTAACAAAAAAATCAACAACAAAAAAACTCTTAGCTTCTACTACAAACACTGTAGTTCTGTATTTCAAGTTGGTGAGTGGTCTCCAGTGTGAACTGAGTTGTTGGATCTGCATTTTGTTTCTGCTGCTTACATCAGTATATTAAATGCCTGGCCCTTTAAACCTGTTTGTATTGTAGGGTTATGGTGACAGGATAAATAATGTGTTCTTACATGCATCCATAAACACTGTTATGAAGTGTTTATAAAATCCATGTAAGATCTATACATTGGGATATTCTGTGAAATATTGTAAATGTAATTTATGTTTCATCTATTTGGTGCATCAGTTTTGCATTTAAACTGGCGGATTAATCTATCCAGAAACAGGGTTTTGTTTTGCACAAAACACTTTTCACTTTTTTTTTCTTTCCAGACTGTTGTATTTATATTTCAATTATTGCCTTTACATTAGGAATGTAAGGTGTATTAAATAGCATACAGGGACACAGTACAACACTACTTAGGTTAGTGTTGTTTTTTAAATGCTTTACCCATGAAAAAGAGAACCTTTGCACTCAAATGTGGGACACTACAAAACTTTATTTAAGAAAACAAATGCTATGAAGGAAGAAACTGTTACATTTACAAATGAATGTCTGGCTTTTATTTGGCCAAGTAGTAAATAGTTTGAAATAGTTTTAATATATAAATATATATAAATTACCACAACAGCTTGTACAAACATTAAAGCTTTTCTTTATTCTCTGTTTGTAACATAAAAACTGAATTAGTTCTTTGGTTAAATGTAAGGTATTCATTAAACATATTTGTGTTTCAATCAGAACTATTGCAAATCATGTTTGTGTATTTAACTGTTTAACTGAATGTCCTCCTTTTACTTAATGTCTGTGTTGTGTATTTATCTCAAGCATTAATGCACTGTTCATGGGAACAAAACGTTTCATTGCCGAGAATGAATTCTGTGTACAAGAACGGGTAGTTCTGTCATTGTTAAGAGTTTTACCTTTGTAAGTTGAATAAATTCTTTTTATTTCATGAAAATCTATCAAGCTTTGTTTTTCTTTTAAAAGCTAGTTGTTGACTTGCAACTTCTTTCTGTGTTCAAGGATGAGAACATTTAATTCTATTGGATAAATGCCCCGTAATTGTGCACATTAACAACACAAATTTAAACATTAAGAATTTTGTTTTTTTATATTATGTGTTTGTTATTAAAGTATGATCTGAATGGTAAAAGCCTGATTTGAGGGGAGTACTTCCCTAACTTTTAAGCATGTAAATGATGGAGAATGTGAATGAAAAAATGAGTCTTTTACCTGAAATCTTAAAAGCTAGATTTGATAACTTCTCTGTACATTATTTTAGATTTAAAGTATATTAAAAGGATTTTCATTCTCCAAACAGTATTTAAGGGAAATTAAGAACTTGGTATACTTCTTATCTCAAGGCAAATGTTTTTTTCCAGACAATTTTTAAGAAATGATGTTTACAATTAAGCATATTTTAAATTAATATAAATTAGTCTTCACTTTATTTACTGTATTTTAGAGTGAACTGATTGGTGTACTCTTTGGTAATGGAATGAAAGAAAAGGTTTTTCATGCTTACAGAAGTGGAGGTAATATGTAAAATTTTAAGGTTACTTTAAATGTAAAATATTTTATAACCCATGTTTTAAATGCACTTTAATTTTGATTAAATTGGACACAGACCAAAAAGCAATGAATAATGTCACAAACACATTTAAATATAATAAAAAAATAAAGCCTGCTACTAATGTCTAACGTATAAAATTGTACAAAACAAACTTTTAAAATTAAATGGTTTTGGATGTGTTTCCATGCAAATTTCTTGTGATCATTCATCTGATAAAAAGTGTACGTTGTATGCTTTTACATAGCTGTTGTCCCATGTATACAAACGGTGATTTTTAGGATTATAAGACAGCATTGCCAAAACGCCATTTGATGATCTTAGATCAAAATTGACATTGACCGGTTTCTCTTTCAGTAAATCAAAGGCATATGTAACTCTCATGTCTTTAGTATCAGTAACATAGAGGACTCCACAGGCTATGAACGCATTGCCAGCTTTGGACCTTGGGTAAGTCGTATTAATGTATTGAACAACAGAAAATGATTTTTCCTCCAGTTTAGCAACCATAATATTTTCATCAGAATGTGAAGCAAAGATGATCCAAAGCCCATTTTCATCTGCTGCCAGGTTGAAGTACGTCTTGGAGTTGTGGAAGAGATAGGTGAGGTTGTGGAACAAAGCATTCTCTATTTTCGTAGTCCATAATTTTTTGCTGCTGATTTCGTACCTGTAAAATAATGGAGATGCTGACAAATCAATTTCAGGGTCTGGAGGCAAGAAAACAAAGTGGCTGTCTTACTTCAGAACACTTACTTTGCAATCTTGTCTGTACCACCAACATGATAGTAGAGAGATCCATTATGTACAATATGACCGCACCCCTGGTAGAACTTCTTTATGTCCAACGTCAAGCTGTTGTTGCTCTGGAGTGAAGCAATGTTCTTATATTGCTTCACGGCTCGACCTGTATGATAACAACAAAGTTTTCCAGTGCAATACAACCAATTTCTTAAATGTTTTCCAAACACTAAAGACATTAAATGCATACCCCTGTTGCCTAGACGTTGCTAATCAGAGCTTGGGTTGAATCCATGGGTGACCAGGACTGGAAAGCAGTATTGTACAATTCATTGAGACACCAGGGCTGGGTGGGTTTGGAGTCAACCACAAGTTCCATGCCTTGCTAAACAAAAAGAAGTCTTCGCAGCTGCAGGACAGCCTCGAGCTTGCAGTGAAGTTGGCGAGTGATGCACAGTTGGTGCAAACCCCTGTACGGAGCTGCTGCATTAGCGGTATGTCAGTCAGTCGGATGCTCCAACATGTGGGCGTTTTAGAAGAGTATGTGCACAGGTCCCCATAGGGGTTAAAGTGGCAAAAATGGATGGATATGAACCATAGAAGGGGCATTTAGCAGTTTCATTTTTTTTTTTAATTGAGAGTAGTTTAAAGGTAATAGTGCATGATAGCCAAGGAGGTGAATATGTTGGCATCAGTTATTTCTTGTATTATATTTGTCATTAATTCAGGAGGATCTGTTTTTTTCCACTTTGATATTATAGTGTTTTGATAAGCAAAAATGGCAAAACATCCCAATTAAATACATTATGATATAATACTGTAACAACAAAACGTGAAAAAATCCAAGTGAATACTTTTCATAGTCACTGTCTTGGATGGATTTTGTACAAATACGTAATATTCTATATTAAATAGTTATTTATTATATCATAAATATAGCTATATTTAATGTTCAAAAAGAGCCTGCATGTTTTGATGCACAGTGGGTGTATAAAGTATTGACCCCCATTGTATTTTGCCATGGTTTGTTGAATGACTAAGGGAAACTCGACAGACTTACATATTTGTTACCCTCTTGATCCATACAACATCCCCAACACTATTGATGTGTTTAAAAGTTTGGAGCTAAAAAATAAATTAGTTAAAAATAACACCCCTAAAAATCTTCATTGCAAAGGTTATCACATAAGCATTAACAGTCCTTAAGCTCTGCTGCAAGCAATTGCCTTTAGAAGTTGCACAATATGTTGACTGGAAACCACCTGTGTACAATTAAAGTGGTTATCCATTCAAATTGGACACATCAGTTTCGGTAAGGTTAAACATACCTGTCTGTGAGGGTTCCCACTGTTGGATACTGCTTGCAAAGCAGTACAGTATGGAGACAAAAGAGCTTCCACAACAACTAAGGTACAGGAGTTGTGGACAGTTCAGATGAGGGATATAAAAAGACTTCAAAGGAACAAAGTATCCCATGGAGTACTGTTAAATTAGCTATCAGAAAGTGAAGGACACATAATATTACTCAGAATCTTCAATGAACAAGTCGTCCTCCAAAACTCAGCAGCTGGGCCAGAAGGACAGTGGTCAGAGAAGCTATCAAGAGGCTGAAAATAACCCTAAAAGACCTACAGTGTTTCATAAGTGAGATGGGAGAAACTGTGAGTGAGTCAAAAAGAACTCAAGTACTCCACAAATCTGGGCTGCATGGTACAGTGGCGAGGAGGAAGCCCTGTTTGAAAAATCTCATAGGATGTCCCTTTAGGACTAGGCAAGAACGCACATAGGAGCCTCTAAAGCAAAATGGAAAAAATTGAAAAAAAAAATGTGGTTTGAGACAAAAAAAATGAGTTGTTTGGCCTTAATGCAGAGTGTTATGTCTGGTGAAAAAGCACTACTCATCACTCGCAAAACACCATCCCCACGCATGGCAGTGGCAGCATCATGTTGTGGGTTTGCTTTTCATCAGCAGAGACTGATAGGCTTGTCAAAATACAGGGGCCGAATGAATGGAGCAAAATATAGGCAGATCGTGGATTAAAACCTGGAAAAGTCTGAAAAAGATCTGAAACTGGAGATTTAGATTTCAACAGGACAATGACCCCAGAGCAACCCTGAGTGGCTTAAAAAGAAGGAGATGTATTTGAGTATTTAAGTATTTGAGGATTTGAGTATTTTAAGTACAGACTCAAATCCCATGGAAGTTCTGTGGCAGGAACTGAAGACTGCTGTCCAGTACCTCTCCCCTAGTAACCTGCAATAGCTGGAGCAATTTTGCAAGGAAGAGTGATGTTAAATTAAACCCACAAGAAGTGAAAAGCTGGTTACAACATAACACAAAAGACCTGAGGGTTTTTTTATGCAAAAGGGGGAGCAACTACAGTATACAGTATACTTTATTAAATGCTGGTCCAAGTTCAGTTTTTCAGTTTTATATTTTTAATTAAAAAAATTTACAATAAAAATGATTAATCCCATTTAAATGTTGGTACACAGCAAAATGGGATAGAGGTCCAATGTCTACACCTACCTGAAAAGTGTTCGGCTACCCAAATCCGTTCGTCATTTTCGGATGCAGTATCTTGCATCCATGTCCCAAATGTGGTTTCCATTTTTGTGATGTCAGTAGGACAGCTAACAAACTTTATGATGCACTCTAGTCAGAGAAAAGTGTGGTTAGTACCTTGAAAATTGAGCAAAAACTAAAAAAAGTAAAAACTAAGAAATATATTAATACCAGCTTTCTTCAAAGGGGCTGCTTTTGCTTTTTCTGGAGCTTTTCCAGCTAACGTATCATCATTTGGGACAGCATATGACAAACCTGTGGGAGAATTAATACAAACAGAATAGTGTGGCACTTGTAATTATTTTGAATTTCTAAAAATGGAATGTGCATTTTCTATACACTTTATGATATTGTTTCTGGTTAATTGGTTTCTGGAAAAACAGGCCCTGGTTTGAGTGTGTGTGCGTTTGTGTCTGTGTGAGCCCTAAGATGAACTGGTGTTCCCTACAGGGTGCATCTCTCCTTGCGCCCATTGCTTGCAGGAACAGGCTACAGCTCCCCTGCGACCCTCAATTGAATAAAGCTGCTAGAAAATGGTTGGATGGGTGGATAGTCAAAGACAGAGAGGCCCATTTTCAGAGTACTTGGTTGTGGAGGGGTCCATTAGACTGCTTGCCATAGACTTACTGATGCTGTTCTTCTGGGCCCTTGCTCTGTGACTTCTGTTGCCTGGAGGCCCTGGGGGTCCAGGGGGACCAGATGGACCGACCGGACCAGGAGGACCTGGAGGACCTACTGGGCCAGGAGGACCTTTTGACACAAGAAAAGATCGAAACAGGATGTACTGTATAAAGCCGGGGTGCAGCACAGGGGCTCAAGTCATCTGTAAGGCAATGATGTGGCAAGAGCTTCCATGCTGGTTTGTCTTTTCCTTCACGGAAGAGCTGTTTAGGTTAATAAAAACATCTGGCATAAACAAAACAGAAAGGCAGTGCAGCACTCTTCCAAAGTGAGGAGAATGTGTTCGATTTTAAGTTGTGCAAGGATGTGAAAAGCATTCTTGAGGTTTATAACCTGAAGCTTTACATCGCACATGATGACGGTGAATCTAAATCGCAAACAGTCCTGTATGGAATCTTGGGACATTTGCTTGAAGTATGTCCACCGTGTACCTGTGTTGGCCTTTAACGGTCAGTTCTTGGCCTTACCCTCCGATAAGACATCATTATAGGTTTCTCCCATTTCCCCCTTTGGGCCAGGATCTCCTTTCTCTCCCTTTTCTCCTGAATCTCCTTTGTCACCTGAAATACAGAACAGTCCTGAGCGTTTTCAGACAGTGTCTCACGTGATCACAGGAGCCTGATACTTCCCCGGATCTGACCGCTATTACTATAACACCGCAGTAGCGCAGGAGAAACAGAACCTTGGGACAATCATGTGCGTGATAAGAACCTGGGAAGGCAGGGAGCCTCACAGATTTCCCAACACATGGGAATCTAATTGAGGACTCTGTTAGGCTATAGGGCTGTGCTCTTAAAGCAGTGGGTTCAGATGATTAGTCTTCAGCCTTGATCTCTTCAAGGCTTTCTTGAACAGACAGCAAATTGTGCCAAAATGTTTTAGATTCCAGCATAATGAGAGGTTAAGGACTGTTCTTTCTGTATACATTTTAAAAAAGGAAAGAAGGGGGTTTGTCGCATTCATATCCTCCGCCCCGATGGGACAGGGAGAATTCAAGGAGATCATTTTCCAAAACACAGTCATACATTTGTTCTTGGTGATATATGTTCCTTGAATTGTCATCTTTCAAAGCCCTGCTTTCACTGCCTGTTCATTCATTGTTCCCCCGTTCTGGCCTGACTCATGGGATCA